GGAGTAAGCATCCTCTGTCGATTTGCCCGCCTTTTGCTCCTTGTCATGATCGGTCAAATTCAGTGTGCAAATAATGAATGACCTTTTCACAAAAAAATCTTTCAAAAAGGAAAACAATGTCCAACTCTTTAAAAAGTATCTAAGCTATGGTAGATCATAAAAATCTATTTCTATTACATTAAAATATATTTTCAATAATCCTGAAGGAAAATTAATATCCTTAATGAAAAAAATCAATGATAAATTGCCATTTTTTAAATCGCCAATTTTTAAATCTTCGTCATACGTTATGGTGTGAAAAGGGCTGCTGATCCAGTTAAACTTTGCTATCTCGAACACCGATATCTCGAATACCAGGGATATGTCAAAGTGATTTTGCAGTCCCAAGCATTTTTTTTTCTTTATTCTTGTTATCTCGAATACTCGGATATCTAGAAGGTTAATCTTTGACTTGTCGAGTTTGAAATAAAGAGGTTTGACTATTAATACGCAAAGCTGAGTAACACATAATCAAACGCAACGTCTGTCTGTTTTGTAAAATGTTCTGGTTACAGAAATTGCATCTTGAACTTGACCTGTAAAATACTTTCAAAATTTTCATAATAATCATATCGAGTGAGACCTAAGTATTTACAATGCTTAACCGCTTTTAAAAAAATGTCGATTTTTTTTTACAATTTGACCTTGAACATAATCTATTGCTATTTCCATTAAATTTTCTCTTATTGTTTGAATGTAGAAAAGTATGATTCTTGATATTAAGCATGTTTCATTTATTTTAATAGCATGCCAGGAAAGAAAAAAGCTTACAATTTGTAATCTGAACAATATTACATGAACAGAAGCAGATAAAAAATTCAATTTTACCATTCATCATTGAAACAGTACGATTGAACAGTAAGGGTTGGATATTTAATATGTTTTAAAAAAGACCTTGTTACTTCAAACTTTAACCTTCGGCGTACTTTAAAGAACAATTTTCCAGAGCCTTTCCTTATCGTTTTTTTTGTTTGTTTGTATGTTGTTTAACGTCCCTCTCGAGAATTTTTCACTCATATGGAGACGCCACCACTTGCCGGTTGAGAGCTGCAAATTTTGTCCTATGCTCGACACTTACGGCCATTGAGCAGTGAGGTATCTTTTTCGTGCCAGCACCTACTGCGACACGGGACCTCGGTTTATACGGTCTCATCCGAAGGACCCGTCTCCACGTCCCACAGTGGGATTCGAACCCGCGACGTAAGGATCAACTCCTTACTTCGCAAATCTAGAGCAGACGCTCTAACCAATGCGCCACGCGGGCGACCTTTCCTTATCGTAAAAGTTAGATTTGATATTAAGCAGATAAATTTGCTTTTAGTAGGGTACTCTTGCTGCAGACCTTTTGACCTTGAATCGAACCTTAATTTTGAAGTTTTTAAAGATGAGAAGAGCGGAAGAGGTAATCTTTTTATTTTAAACGTTACCTACAATAGAATCCAATTTGACATTCCTTTTTGAATATTGAACCATTAATAAAGGATGATTATTTTTTTAATCAGTTTATTAATTGTTACAAGACCCTATAAATAATGAATACTACATGGGCTTGACATTGTTTTTCACCATTCTTTTTTTTCTAGTATAAAATCAAATCTTTGTCAACCTTGATCTTTATTCAAAATTGCATGATAGACATGATGTATGCAATGAAGTTCCTAACAATCATATTATAAATATTGCAAGTGTCATACTCATTCCCTGGAATACTCTAATTGATATGATTACTTTAGACTTCGCACACAGTTCCCTGTTACATTTCACTTTAAAAGTAAAAAAACAAAAAAAAAAAAAACAAAACAAAAAAAAAAAAACAAAACAAAACAAAACAAAACAAAAACAAAAACAATAACAAACAAAAAAAAGCCAAAAAAAAAAAAAAAAAAAAAAACCAAAAAAACATAACAAAACAACCAAACAAACAAAGAATGTGTAAAAGCAGGGTGGAGGTTAAGCATTCTTTTAAAATATTTTAATTATAAATTAGTTAGTTTAATATTCCTGTCTAAATATTTTGCCAGTAATAAAGTTTGGTGATTTGTACCATCTTAAATAATTGCTACAACACCCCCAGGAGATTAGTGAATGCTTCAAGACATGGAATTGGTATTTCATCATTTCTCTAGGATAAAATCAAGTGATAGAGAAAATTGAAAACAAGCAAAGAGTAAGTATGAAATGCGCAATTAATTTATCACAACTAAACAGTCTAAAGTACACAGCTGTCGGCGTGCATTTTTAAAAGTCTCATCTAGAAGGTAACAGCAAATCTCTTTACTATGATCATTTTCAAAGATTGACACAATCAGATGTTTTCAAAAGAATAATTTTACCCAATCTCTTGCTTCGGTACTATTTTTATTCTGCGGCCCGAGATGCCAAGATATTCTTAATGATTTTATAATAAAATAAAAACTATGATCTTACTTAAAAAGGCAAGTTGATAAGTAAACAGTCCGTGATATTCAATGATTAAGGTGCTAACATGGAAGAAAAGTAATACAAAATGGATTATGCTTTCTACACCTTTTATAATAATCAATGAACTAACCTGAGTGTAGGTTAACTTCTGTCCTTAAAATGAATTATCAACAACTTGTAGCCATCTTTCAATAATACATATACACAGGTATATAATACACCTTTATTATCACATAATGCATCCTAAAGGTATTTACATTAGATAGGCAGATGGATATTTATCAACAAGTTTGATTTTACCATGTGAATTTTGGAGGACATGGATTGATAAAACTAGAATGTTTATTGATTAATCTAGATAAGGACATTTCAGAATTTTTCTCCCATTATGGGCACAGTTTGATTAGAAAAATATTAACAAGTGGTTTAATCTCATGATGTTTTTTTACCCAAATAAATATTTTATACTATTATTGATTTGGAAGTACATGCTATATTTAATTAATATAACTGTGTCAGAAACATTAGTGCTTGTTGGTTACATTAACAATTCTATTTGACAAATGATGATTATAACAGCGAAATTGATTTAAAAAACTATAATTTTTATTTGCAATAGACATTGTAAAACGTACACTGTATTCTTGAAAAATTGTATACAGAAGACTTGTCATAGGTAATAATGCTGGGAAAATTTTCATCAGATAAAATCACTTGTTAACATTTTCCACATCAAATTGTGCCCTTATTGGGAGAACAATTATCAGAAAATTCAATTTTTTCCCATATAAATGTTGTGGAATTGCTGCAAATATGTTCTTGTTGGTCAAACAAAACTCAAAAATCACATTTTTCTTCTATGAAGTGTTTAATTTTTCTTTGCAATATCTTGAAATATGAAGATAACGAACAGTTATCAAGTTCAAAAATCTATTCAAACAATAACCGTCACAGTCGCTCAGTCAGTAGAGCGCTCCCCCGTGATCGGAAGGTCGTGTGTTCGAACCACGGCCGCGAATGACCTAATTAAGTAGATAAAAAAAGGTAGTAACTCTTCCTTCGCCAAACGCTCGGCACTTTGAAATGAAAGTTGTGGGTCTTTCGGATGAGACCTCAAAAACCGAAGCCCCGTGTCAAGGTAGGGTTGGCACGAAAGAGATCCCTCGCTGCTCAATGGCCCTGAGTGCCGAGTAAAGGTCTAAATTTGAAGCCCTTCACCGGTATATGGTGACGTCTCTCTATATGAGTGAAAAATTCTTGAATGGGACGTAAAAACAACATACAATCAATCAATCGACTGGTTACACCCGCCGTATGCTCCTTGTCATGATCGGGCAAACGAAAAAAATGGCCTAACTATTTGTATGAAAAAGGTCAGTCAACATTCGACTTAATGACAGATTTTATTCTGACAAGGTCATTGCATCGACCATAGAATTTGTGAAATGTTGTCTTTAAATGAGACGGTTGGTATTTTTATTCCATCAACTTATTTGTCAATAGCTTGTATCGTTTAAGTAATTGTTAGTAGAGTATGCTCTTGCGTATCAAATCAACTAAGAGACACTTCAAATGCATGTTATAATGATACATTACTATATACATGTGTAAATAAGGGAAATTGACGACAGAAAAGTTGAAGTCATCACGTTTATCATAAGGTTCTGTCGGTAGGTTACCATTAACTTTTTTTCCCAGTAAAAAATCCAAATACGAAACAGATTCTGTTGTATTTTTTATTCCTAGTTCAATGGGATATATCAAATCAACGTAGGAATGAAAATGAATATTGCTAATTAATAAAACGTTGTCGATATATCTAAATGTTGAATTGAATGCCACAGCAAGAGACTTCTTCTTTTCACGTAGAAGTTTATAAATAAATTCCGATCCATATGAATACAAAAATTGGTCTGCAAATAACGCTGCGCAATTAGCACCCCTTGGAATTCCGACAGATTGTTGGAAGACTTGATTCCCCAAAACTATATGAATATTGTCAATCAGAAACTCATGCATCTTTTTAATATCAACTTTGGAGTACTTATCTGCACAATCAGAATGTATTTTTAACAAAAAGTTTTTGCAAATGACCAATGACAAGGTAAGTAAATTTGCGAGTTCTATTTGTATCGAAAAAGCAGCTGTCTATAATATCAAAAAGCCTGGACTGTACGGATTTTTATGTAGTTTAGGAATCCAGTACAGGTATTTCAATTTTCAATGTTTGTTGGGAATATTAAAAATATTTAAAACTGACATATGATTTTGAAGAATTTTCTCCTTAGAAAGGGAACTATGAGTATAAGTTGGATTACCACTTGCAGAATAAAATCCAAACTTATCTGATTATTTGCTTCATACCTAGATTCATAATTTGTACTTATTATGGTATTATTTTACTATTTCACTACTAACACTATCATCCTGTAAAAGTTAAAAAGAATGTAAACATTTAAAGCAACGTAAACCTTAAAACTTTGACAATACACTCATTTTTACTAGCTATAATATTAAAGACTATCAAAATGAAAGGCAAGTATCAAAACCCCAACATTACATTCAAATAAGAGTACAGTTTATGCCTTAGTTTTCATTCTATACATATTCATTAAAAGTTCATGTTTTAGATAAGGAATCCAGAGAAAGTAGTGACAGGAGCGTCACTGAACGTTGCATAACCACTGCCATCGTAATGTCGTACCCATACCCTGTCCCCTTGCTGCAGCCGTAATATTACAAGATTTGTTCCTGTCTCGTACTGTTCGTTAGATGCAGAGTTAGCTTCAACCATTGCTCGTACCTCGCTAGATCCGTTTAACACAATGTCTACATATATATCGTTGTCTTTGTAACCTTGGATACTGACATAGAATACGTAATTTCCTACTACAGGTGCAGTGAAGATTCCGTTGATAGGATCATATCCTCCTCCCTCATTGCTGATTACTTTATTGAACACTAAGGTCCCACTGTTCCATGAGCTGCTGTCAGACGTCACTCCAGCAGTAAAAGATACTTTTTGCGTCAACTCTACAAGTTTAGAGTAGTGTCAATGACTATATTAAGGACAGAGCATAAAAGTGAAGAAGTGAGATAAACAATAACAAACAATAACATTTAGGAAAGAACAATACAACAATAATAATACTTAATACAGGTACACCATTAAGATCATGTTAAAAATGGAAAATTATCATTTCTTTTTAAAATTACATTTTGAACTTAATAGTATTTTCCTCTTAAGACGTATACGTGTATTTACCGAAATAACTTCTGGTCATATTTATTCGGAACACTTCCAGAGACGACACGATGGAGGACAACATCAGCTGCTCTGATTGAAATTGTTTGACGTCAGTCCTAATGTCACCAATAGTTTTGTTAATTTTATCTAAAGAGACATTACATCAATATATATAAGAAAACAACCACGAGTCAAATGTTTAAGATTTATTTTCTTTTATAATGTATTTATTGCAATGAGACCGAAATTTTTAACATTTTTTTGAAAATTGATATTTGCTTGACGCTACAGGTATCAGGCAGGTAAAATGACAGACTGATTTTACCATGGAACGGAACTGTGGGTCACACATTTGTGCAAGCAGATTTACATCAGAATATTCAACTTGCGTTTTTATAAAAATAGTTAACAGAAGTTATTATGCAAACATTTTACGAGTTAATTACCTTTAGATTGTTCACATGCAACTTTATATTTCATGCAACTTTCTATATTGACATGTCTGTGTAAGAATTTATTCTGCGTTTCACCTAGGGTTGTTAGAATTATTCGAGGACTCAGTTCTTTTCGTTAAGGAAGTATGATGCACTTAGTATACCAAATGGCCTACGATATAGCGCATTTACAAGCATCCAAAATATTTCATTTTCTTTTTATAATATTAAGTAAATCTAGCTATAAGCAAATACAAATCATACCATTCTTGGCAGAAATATAGTCATAATTATCTCAGACAAAAGCAATGAAATTTACAATTCATATTAAAAGTTTTCTATATACTTCAGTTATCCTATTTTCCGAAAGGACGGGGCTATATTTACACAAAAGACAAAAGTTCTCAATAGCGTGCGTAGCCTGATGGTGTACACTGAACTGTTTTCGTGTTCGGGGTCAAGCCCTGCAAGTTCCAGGATTTTTTTTTTATATTAATCTAAGTTTACGAAAGCCGGATAGGCTCATTTTTGACAAGATAAAAAAAATAATTAACTCGTTATAACGAGATAGTTATCTCGTTATAACGAGTTAGTATCTCGTTATAACGAGTTAGTTATCTCGTTATAACGAATTAGTATCTCGTTATAACGAGTTAGTTATCTCGTTATAACGAGTTAGTTATCTCGTTATAACGAGTTAGTATCTCGTTATAACGAGATAATTATCGCGTTATAACGAGTTAGCATCTTGTTATAACGAGTTAGTTATCTCGTTATAACGAGTTAGTTATCTCGTTATCACGAGTTAGTATCTCGTTATAACGAGTTAGTTATCTCGTTATAACGAATTAGTTATCTCGTTATAACGAGATAATTATCTCGTTATAACAAGATAATTATCTCGTTATAACGAGTTAGTTATGTCGTTATAACGAGACAGTTTTCTCGTTATTTCGAGACTTAATAGCAATATAGGAATAAAAATGGCTGCAGTTTGAAATGCCATTGAATTTTTAGCAAGTAATTATCAGTCAAATTTAACTTGAACAATTGATAAGTGGTTGAAAAATTAATTTGCTCTTGGGTTTACTTATGATTAAATCTTGAACTATCTCGCTGTCAATAATCATAGCAACTCTAAGGCGAATAAATTTACACATTTTCGTGAACTCCTCCTCAAATTGTTGCATTAGGACGCGATATTTTTCTTAAAATAATATTGCCAAACATACTTGCTTCAAACTTTGGCAATTTATTTATGACAACTATTTCTGATGAATGACACTATTTCGATATGTTTTGGACGACTTATACACTTTCATATATCAATTTCTATACCGCTAAAATTAAATATCAGAGACAATATAAGTGCAAAATATCGTTTATGCAACATATAGTATATACGATTACAGTGTGATACTTATGTTACTTTTGAGATTCAGAAACGTTTTGAAGAAGGGGGATGGTGAGACATCAGCAGTTATATCATAGGCGTAGTAATAGAGGGGCTAATGTCCACACCACCACTTTTGAAAAGGGGGCGGTCAAGAGTATCTTTGTGCCCCTTCCTCTATATTTTTTTTACCAGAGTAAATATCTTCCGAAAAAAATGGCAAATACTCGTAGTTGGAATATCAAATCTATTTTTTTTTCTTTTTACTTGACAAATATTTTACTTGGTTTACCCCCCCCCCCCCTTTGAATTTTGTGACTTAGCTTATGCAGATTGTCCACGATAATGAGGAGTGGTGAAACAAAAATGATATTACATCCTTTTAAGTAATAAGACGTTAAATCTGATCTGCTGATATTGACATTTTATCTAATATTCTGTCATGATTCACTGTTTATATTTTTTGCGGGGGGGGGGGGGGGGGGAAGTTGTGGAGATTCACGGAGACCTATTTGAGATGCACGTCTATTTGGCGGATCCTATATGTTTACCACATAGTGTCAGAACGTCAAACCAGAGTTTATGAACAAAAAAAAAAGTTTACAGAGTTTACAAAGCCAGTTCACTTTTATAATCTTTTTACTTAGGATTGATCAATGAATAGGCCTAATACTACATATGTACATGTATATTATTAAAACAACATTGAAGCAATGTCGTTGATTATTTTCCTCATCACAATATTTATTATGTATACTCTACAAGCATATAATTTTTATTTCAAAAAGAGATTGATGATTTTTTTTTTTGGGGGGGGGGGTATAAATAGAGGATATTCAATGTTTTGTAGTTGATATGGAATTTATTTTACGAGTGGGACAGGAATTTTTTTTTATATTTTCATGAGTGCGAAGCACGAGTGAAAATATCAAAAATCCTGTCTCAACATACAATACACATTTCTTGGCAAAATTTATGCTTGAAATACACCTTAAGTAATGCTTATCATATTGTAAACTTTAGTTATTAAACTTTCATTCTATACCCAAAAAGGATCACATGTCAACTGTTTTGACTAATGCTGACCTTCACCTTTTATTGTGGCTTCCGTAGAATAAAGAGCTCTAAAAGTTTTTTTTTAATTCTACCACATTGATAATATCGCAAAAATTACATATTGTACATAAGATTCCATGCCAAATTGGTAAGTTAAAATGTTTCTTTATTTTAATAAAAAAGAAGAAATATATGAATTATTAAGTGATAAGTACAGTATTAGTTCTTGATATTCATCATATTTATTATTGAGGGGAAGGAGGGATTGATGATTAAAACAACGTGAATTTAGTTTTTTGTCAGACATTGAATTTTGATCTTGCCCCTTTAAGACGATAAAATTGAACTGGTATTCCTTGTTAACAGGCAAGGAAATATCAAAATATGATCGTTAAAGCCTAACAAATGGTTTCATATCCACATGATTTATTCGGAATATTTAAAATAATGGGATTATTTCTATGCATTTTTTTATTGCGACAAATATTACGCAAACATTATTATAATTTTAACAAAATCAAGAAAGCTTGAACGGGGCAGTTGCTTCTGTATATTTCCTATAAATAATGGTCTATTCTTTACTTAGATTTATCAATTCTAGATCAATTTTTATCTCGTTATAACGAGATAATTAACTCGTTATAACGAGATAATTAACTCGTTATAACGAGATAACTTACTCGTTATAACGAGATACTAACTCGTTATAACGAGATAAATAACTCGTTATAACGAGATAACTAACTCGTTATAACGAGATAACTAACTCGTTATACCGAGATAACTTACTCGTTATAACGAGATAACTAACTCGTTATAACGAGATACTAACTCGTTATAACGAAATAACTAACTCGTTATAACGACATAACTAACTCGTTATAACGAGATAACTAACTCGTTATAACGAGATAACTTACTCGTTATAACGAGAAACTAACTCGTTGTAACGAGATAACTAACTCGTTATAACGAGATAATTATCTCGTTTTAACGTGATAACTAACTCGTTATAACGACATACTAACTTGTTATAACGAGATAACTAACTCGTTATAACGAGTTAACTAACTCGTTATAACGAGATAATTATCTCGTTATTACGAGATAACTAACTCGTTATAACGAGATACTAACTCGTTATAACGAAATACTAACTCGTTATTACGAGATAATTATCTCGTTATAACGAGTTAAATATTTTTTCGTCTTGTCAAAAATGAGCCTATCCGGCTTTCGTATAAGTTATAAGTATATGTTCAATTATTTTTTTTTTACTTTAATTAGTTAATTTTTAATTAATATGATCGTATTTTCCACATAATATTCTCGTGAATTTATAGCCCGAAACAAAGGAAAAACGTAAGAGGAAATCTTTTAAATGATAAGCATTAGTATATAGAAGCAGTTCCGTATATCCAATACGCTAAGTGAATCTATTTATAGTAACAGGTACTTTCCATTTAAACCAAATACAGGGAAAGGTCGCTATATATACCTCTATATTGAGTAATTTAGGAATGGAGTATGTTTTATTAAATATATAAAAAAAATCAGATCCATTTACTTAAAATTTGAAAATTTAGGATTTATAGAGCAACACCTGAAGTTTCCTGGCGTTAGGTGCCGTGCCACCTGATTCCAAACCAGTCAAATTTTTTGTTTTGAAACATTAAATATCTTTCATTTTACGGATTGGTCATTTATTTTCCCCACTTAAAAATGAATTAAAATACCAAGGCATTTAGTATTTTTCTAGAATGCCTTTTGTGGTGTAACGGATATCAGTGAAATCCTTAAGTCTTTAGGATTTAGGTGTGGGAACAGTGTAAAATTCAAAGGATCAATATCCATGCAAAAAGCGGGGTTACATAAAAACTGGTTATCAAAAATGCCAATTCTGTCAATCCTAAAAAAATATTTAGTCCTATATAGTGTAGGTAATCCCTAACAGAGTCTTCAATTATTTTAGTGTGTTTTAGGTTTTTCAGACCTCTAGTTTTTTGAAAGCTCTCTGCTCCAAGATGTTCAATGACGTTGTCACTTTTGACCGTATTCTTAAGCATTGCTCATTGATAAGTAGCGAAAAAAGTAATAACTTCTCCAATTCAAACATTTCTCTAAATGACATTAAATTCTTTAGCGACAATATTATAAATCTTTATGCTATGCAACAGTGTAATTTATAACTTCAAAAAATGTTTAGTAATAACAATGTGCAAAAATGTTGCATGCTCCATGTTATTAGTTCTTTGGGGGAGCTCTGATAAGGGAGATGACTCCCCAAATAGATAATCCTAAAATCTTTTTAAGAGTTTTAAGCTCTTAAGCCGCAAACATTGACCTCTATTTTTTGTCAAAAATTTTGTATATATATATATATATATATATATATATATATATATATATATATATATATATATATATATATATATATATATATATATATATATATATATATATCTCGATCTCCTTAATCCAGTAAACAAAACGAGTCATGGACAGGGCAAAAACACCGACCCCTGGAAAATAAGTTTATTCTGTTTTGATACATGAATGTACTTCGTCGTTTATTTCTTTGATTGAAAAGCACACTTCAACAGGAATTTATTTGGTGGTTTGGAAATTTTCCGCGAAATGTACTAAAACCCTCGTTTTCTACTGGATCAGTTCATTTGTCTTGTATGAAGGGAATAGCACCGACAATTGAAACGAATAAATCTTACAATGTTCTATAATATTGAATGAGTGTGAAGGCTTCCATGGAACAAAAATATATATTCTTACAATCTGATTATTTTTCGAGCTTGGACGTGTTTAATCATCACATTTTACATATTACTTATCGTATAGGAGCAGGTAACTCTAAAGCAATGAATTCAAAGCAGGTTAAATAACCTCACATTGCTGCACACAAGATTTATTTTGATGTGTGCAGCAGTGTGAGGTTATTTAACCTGCTTTGAAGAGCAGAAAAATTAATCCTTGGTTTATAACGATACACACTCACATACAATGAATCAGACTAGTCCACTTTGGGGATAACAGGAAAACAAAATAACTAGGAAAAATTGGAGCTTTTGCGTACTGACAAATGTAACACAGTATTTCTTTAAAAAGCTATCAATTATACTTATAAGTTATTGTATGTAGATTCAAACACAATGAACAAAAATTTTGTCTTACGGAAGTATGCTCCTTAAAGCATCTAAATTCCAAAATGATAGGATAGATATCTATTAAAATTTTATATAATTATCTATTTTCATATTTAAATAAAAACCAATATATACCACCTAACATAATGTTATTAAAAGCCATAATGTCTAATCCTTTTTAAAAGAATTTTCTCCGGATTTTTTTTTCTCAAAATTTTTTACAAACAATACAAATCTTTAAGCATGGCATAAAACACGGACAAACACGGCATGTTATTTTAATCTTTTGCCAACATTTTTTTTTTTTTACTTTTTCTCGTATGACACGCGACTGCGATTACCTTTTCATTAGAATGCTTACTTGTAGATTACTTTAGCATACATATGCTTGTATGTTCTAACTTTTTTTAATTTTCGAAAACACTTATTTTTCTTCTATGAATTGTAAACTACTTGTCGGTAAACAGCCCGACTGAAATTATACTGTATGAACTTGGTAACAATTAAATTTATTCCTTAGGCAAATGTTTTTCAATTAAAATTTTGAAATGCATAGCCATTTTTTTTGTATAAAAACACACTCATTTTACTTTTTCTTTGTTGTGTTGCTTTCAGGATTCAATCTAAGTACTACCCTTGCGGCATCTCTTTAAAACTTCGACTGATTGTGAACTAATGACTTCCGTCTAAGCATTAAAAACTTCTGTTTTATTTAAAATTACTTTTAAAAATTATTCGTTTCTTACCCTAGTTCGATCAATGACGATTGTATACAGGTATTTAAAAGGATAGATTAAAGCGGTGCAACCATGCACGTATTTTGTATCGCAATGAAAGGTGGTTGACAAATGGAATTAGTATCACTTACTATAAATGATTTTGTACATTTCAACTCACCAGGTATAAACATTACTATGCCACAGTGAGGTTTGAATGGTCAGAACATCATTTATAAACTATAATCTTTTGATATGATGAAAGTTTTTACTTGATAGATTGTTTCCAACATAATAAATATACCCTTCAATTTTTTTTAAGTTTGCCCCCAACCAAATTATGAAAAATAATTTCTTAAACTTGTGTTATGCATGAAAAAATTTGCCATATCAGCAGGCGTTACGATCGAAAACAACATCCAAACACATTGACACATTATATACACATATATTAGAATATCATGATAAGGCCAGTATTAAAAATCTTGAGCAGTCAGGAATGAATCAAAACTGGACGGAAGAGATATGATTCTTGACTTGGACAGGATTCAAGGATTAGATGACAAGAATTGAAAATCATGGACAGGTCAGGTTTGAAATCCTGACATGGTCAGGATTGTAATCATAATACGTCAGAGTTGAATAACAATGTGATATATATATATATATATATATATATATATATATATATATATATATATATATATATATATATATATATATATATATATATATATATATAATGAACTGGGGCTCTGTAATGGCTTTTCGTAGGATTTTAAACTCAACTTAGCCAGGACTGACAATCTAGACCTTTATATGCAATTTTTTTATTCTTTGCTACAATCAATATAATATTAACTATTCTACATGTATTCGAGATGAGATTAAAATATGAAAAGTTTTTAAGAATTAGAAATTTCATCTGCATAAGTTACATTTGACATAAATACATTCAATATTTTCATCAGGATTTTTTTCGTTTTGAATTAAGAATGATTACATGCTTTTTAAATTGATTATCCCAATAGTTTTTATCGGTCACGATAGGCTTGTGGTAGGGTTCGTTTCGTGATCGGGAGATCCTGGATAGATTTCGTTCGCCGCGCCGCGTTATCCCCATGACATGAACACAGATATAGATGTTGTTGCATTTCGAACAGGTTTCATGATTATGAAACCTGTTCGAAATGCAACAACATAAAAATATATATTGATGAATTGATACTCTGATCTATTCAATTAAAAATTTACACCTAATTCAGCTTTATTATTTAGATTAACATGTTCACATTAATATCTTCAATTTAATGGACAGTCTGTACAAAACATGAAAAACTTTAAAGAGGAAGGTCTTGAATTTTGCAACTTTAAGGTTGGTAATTTTAACTTTAATCTTAGCTTTTTCAACTTCAAAGTTGGTGATTTCAACTTAAATCGTATTTGTTTCTGATTACTATAGGTTAACAGTTTTTATTTTCTTTTTCTAAAATTCTTAATTTTAGTATTTCGGAAATTGTGGAGGTTTGCGGCAATACTGCATGTATGAATTCATACATACTCAGTTACTTACAATTTCAGTAACTATATCCATCTTGAAAATCGGAAATTTGTCTAGGAATTTCACTACCTAGCTAACCAAGCAGTTAAACGACAGTTAAACTCTGTGTCATTCATTTAATTTGTTCCGTAGGGAAACAGTAGTTCTGTTTCTTTCCTTTTTTTGGAGGGGGGGGGGGGCAAACCTTTCCAGTAAGGAAACTAAATTATATGTCCCTTGTCACCTTGGAAACGAAAAAAAGTCACCTTCCAATCCCCATTCGGAATCAATTGGTCATCATAGTGGCATTACACACATAATCTGATAATAGAATACCGAGCTCATGGTCATGATGATTATTATTGGACAAGTCGACATAAAATCTGACATGTTGACATAAAATCGGACGAGATTATATAAACACATGACAAGTCGAAATGAACATAGAATAGTTGCAAATATATGCTGCTCTAAATTTGGGAAAATTTAATCCATGCAAAACTTCCTGGGTATACAGTTGGTAAGCTGTAAATCAAAATAGATGTAGGAAGAAGTCCTGTAGATCATCATTCTTGTAGCTGATCTTTAAGGACACACCAAAGGTTTCCAAATGCCAGAATTTAATTTGCATGAAATTCTTTCATTATCAAACATAACATAATAAAAGTATATATCATTTGAAAGCTTGTTAAATTTACTATTTAATTATCCTAATTTAAACTTTAATTAATAACTTATTTAAAAATTATTTAAATATGAATGTGAATTGTAGTGCATAAATATTTTATAAATCAACTTTTTTGTATTTTACCCCTCAAAGTGGTCATTTTGCCTCAAGGTAAATTAAAGATTGAACTTAAAAACTGTATCTCAGATTTCTGATAGATCTTCTAATTCAAAAGTTACAGCCATTTGCACTTCAATTTTACCAATTTATTAGCCTAATTTAACATTTCTCTCAATAATTCCAAAACTAAGCTAGATATTAAAAATCTGAGATACGGTTTTGTGAACACACATTTGAGAAGCAACCCATCTAATTTTCAGAGAAATTGGTCAATAAATAAAGGAGCTGAATCCTTTGAAATAATACCACAAACTTCCTGATCTTACTTTACAGTAGAGGGGGAAAACCCATTACACAACAAAATCTGCCAAAGCTAGGAATATATGACACCTTGGAGATTCAACCCGGGTCAATATTCTACGTTACAGCGGCATTGAAAGTAAAAGTAACGGGTCTTTCGGATCAAACCTTAAAAATCGATGTCTGTGTCACTATAGGTGCTGGTACGTTAAAAGAACTCTCACTGCTCAACGGCAATGAGTGCCGTGTGTAGGTCTCAATTTGAAGACCTCACCTGCATATAGAGAGTGAAATATACTCGAATTGAATTTTAACCAAAATTCAATCAATCAATCAATCTTGATTTTTGTTTTGAAATAGTTAGAAATATCCTGTCTTCTTGTAATTTTTGTAAATCGCCGTCTGATGTTTCAAAAATATCAATTTTAAATGAAGTGACAATCATATCCGGTGTCCAGTGTGCTCGGCAAACAAGTCAATTCAGCGTAGTATAAATTTTGATTATAATTTATCTACAAAAGTGTTAATATCTCACCAATCGATGCTGTTTGTCTGCCCATAATCTCTATGATGTTCTTCAATTCCTCCTGAAGTCTTCGGTTTTCATCTGTTACGACTTCAAGTTTCTTTACTAAGGCCTGAAACATTTCTTCTCTTACACCGATCTTGCTACTCTGCAGAGAGTCAAATATTATTTGAGGCGATGTAAAATTATTCACAATATAAAGTATACCTATTACTTTTAAACTATACATTCCTCTATTTTGTCAACAAAACAGTGTATACTCCTGTTAAGTTTCTTTATTTATACTCATTAAAGATTTTTTTCCTTTTAAGGAAATAGAGAAAACCCTTTTTCTACTTTAACGTCTACTTGAACTGTCATTTGAAGAAAAAAATGAATAATTAAGTTTGTAATGATCGCATAACTGAAACAAAGAATGTTGTAACAGTTAAGTTTTTGTATGAAAAAAATCAATTCTACACTTTTAAAAGCATGTATGTACAACGTTCTTTGACAAAATGTTTATATGTAAAATATGTGAAAACTTTATCTGCATTAGGAAAACGGGTTTTTCTCTCCTTTCAAGTCTAGTTAACGCCCAAATGTTACACTGATTGTGGCCATTTGTACATGTACAAAAGAAAGTCAGAAGCGTACTGGACAAATATTTACTCTGTATGGTTTATTTCCGTTTGAAATAAATGAAAAAAGGTGAAGATAACGAAAAGTGATCGCACAAACAATACAAATCTGTGAACAGGACATAAAACACGGATCTCCGGAAATTATCCTATCTATTCTATTCAGCACCAGAACAATTCAATTTTATACGAGGGGTTATCAAAAAGTTCGTGGACTGTTGCGATGAAATTAATACTATGTAGTCTGTGCTTACGAAATTTATAAGGAACATAAAACAACAAAAGTTTAAGAGATGTTGAAAATTTAAGCTGGATACGTTGGTAATTTGCCAAATTATTTCAAAATAAAAAAGACACTATATGATCACCCGGCGCTGTCGCCGTTAAGTTTCATGACGTCCGACATCGTCATTATTTCTCAATTTCCGCTCTCTCTACCTCATACACTTATCTTGATGAGATTACCTGGAGTTAATTAAGGACTTAAGTCCGTCTACTTTTTATGACTTTACAATGTCATTAACAGCTGCTTTCAATGCATATCATGGCCGTAGGAAACGGGGGGGGGGGCACGGGGGGGGGGGCGTGCCCCCCCCCCCCCCAATAATTTTGCCGATATATAGATTACTATAGTAAACATAGATAATGTGTGCTTGTGCCCCCTCAATAAAAACGTCTGATGACTTTTTTTTTTTTGCTTGTCAGGAAATTTTTGGTAGTGCCCCCTCAACGTCAACTGAAAAATGTATGGCTGTGCCCCCCCCCCCCCCAAACTGAAATCGCTTCCTACGGGCCTGCATATAATATTGTAAATGAATCTAAACATAGGAAAAGATCCTAACTTGATTATGCCAGAATACTTAGCTTGTTGGAGTTCAATGTCTACCAAACATGATCAATGTAACTTTTCGACGTGACTGTCTTTTGACACCCTGACTACAAAATTTTTAATCGACATTAACTGTGCATCGTTCATCTCTCTGAATCTTTTTTGGACATTTAAAACAAGTACTCTGCATGCATTTTAGTTTTCTGTAGCCTGTTTAAACATTCCATAGGTCTATACCAGTTTTTCCAGGTGCGAAACTTTATAGAATGTTGGAAAAAGAAACCCCTCCCCCCCCCCCTTTTGACGTTATTTTCAAGCCCTTAATTTTCTTGACACTCCATATAAAATTTACGATAAAATTCCATAGAACTTACCGTATGGGATAAAAATTACAAATTTTACGGAACGATTGTGTAGTACCACATGCCTGAATTAACGGGATTTTTTGATGACAAATGCTCATATCAAAAGAGTTTTTTTAGTTACACTTAGGTAGAAAAAAACGTCATATTTGAGGTTGCGCCGCCTGGACAAACCATTGCTTACAAAAACATTAACAATTTATTAAAAAATAAAACTTACGATTTATGGTTTATTCTATAGATAGACAAAATGATGGCAACTACATGTATTAAAATTCATTGATGTATCTAAAGCGGTTTTAATTTTATGGCGCCAGTCCACGAAGTTTTTGATAACCCCTCGTATGTGGCTTTTTTCAATTGTCGACTATTTTCAAAATCTAAAAACATTTGATATAAAAGAGAAAAAAAAAGAATTCAAATCAAAGTATTTTACAAAACATCTTAATTATTAATAATAACCCTTTTAACTATTTTGTTCATGCATTAATAGATAAATAATATACTTCTTAAATTTTATGTAATTATAAAAGTTTGTTGTGTAAGAATAAGAAATGTTAAGAATTGTAAGCAATTTAATTAAAGTTTAGGGTGAGAGGTAGTACATAAAGGCACACATCAGTGAAATAAACCTATAATTGTTTTGAAATCAAAGATGCCACAGAGTCTGACACATCTGTTTCATATTAGTTATTTTACTAGAAAAAGACGTTAATGGTAATCTAACAACAATACAATTTGATGACTTCAACTTTTCTATCGTCAACTTCCCTTAGTTATGTAGTAATTTACCCTTATCACCTGCATTTGGGGTTTATATCTCCCAGTTGATTCGATACGCAAGAGCATGCTCCACCTACGAGCATTTTCTAAAACGAGGCAAGCAATTGACAAACAAGTTGATGAAACAAGGATATCAACAGTCTCGTATAAAGTCAACATTTTGCAAATTCTTTGGTCGATACAATGACCTTGTCAGCAAATACAATCTATCATTAAGTCAAATGCTGACTGACTTTTTCATACTAATTGTTAGGCCATTATTTAAATATTGAATTTCTATGGATTTTTCCGTTTGCCCGATCATGACAAGGAGCAGACGGCGGTTGTGACCTGTCTGCAAGGGATGCTTACTCCTCCATGGCACCTGACCCAACTTCTGATGTTCAAGAGTTTCTTCTTTGCTCTACACCCGATTTGTATTGTTTCAATGGACTTTAGAGCTTTATTACTGTTCGTTATCTTCATATTTCATTTGTAATTAACGTACATGATCGGGTTTCTAGTACTCCAAGTTCATTATTTTATGAACAACTGTCTAGGTTTTTGGATATGATGTGATTTATCAGTTTATTAACGTCAGGCCTCTAAGTGGCCTCTAAAATTTAGGCGCCAGCTGGCGCCTTATCAAAAATATTTAGTCGCCAATGCAAATTTTTAGTCGCCAGGCAATTTTTTAAGGCACCAAAAGTTAATAGTAATCAATATAGGGAACAATGACGTGCCTAAGAAAACCCGACATTTCCATTGCTTAAAATAAATCCTCTTCTTATAAATTTCTTTTCGCTTTTTCAGAAAAATTGATAAAAATGTTAAAAATTCCGGAATCCTACGATTGCCAAGTCAATTTAAAATGGTCGCCAATTTACGTGATTATTTACATAAACGCCGAAGGAGGACCGCACTCCATATGATTTGGATTTATTATTTTACTATGGAAAATAACCTTCATTACAAAAATAAGAAGTATCTGTGGGTTGTATGCAGGAGAGAGGGCTTCCATGAAAACAAATGTTAGAGAGTAAATGAACATAGCGTAGTAGCCCGCTTAAATTTTAATAGCTAAAATAATCAATATTCTACTTAGTGTTCTTTTCCAACGTGTTAAAACCATATGTCCGCTAAAAAAGTACGCAAAATTATTGAAATTCCTTTGAGCAAGCAAAACGCCAAATGTAGCACCCACCTAAAAACACACACACACACGCGCGCTTAAATGAGCCAAAATTAGTACCCTGTTATACGGTATATCAACATAACATTGAATAATTAGCTAAATTAGGGGTACTGAAATTTATTCAAAAGTTATCAATACTTAATTGTAATTTAAAGACATTCTTAACAATCGTGAAATAGTCAATGGTTCGAGATAAATACTTCGAGTACATACATGTTGAAGCATAAAGTACGTTTGTGGTCTTCTAAATTTAATTTGTTTTGTTAAAAAATGCTTAAAAAGAAACACACAAAAAAACCTTTATCATTAAATCAGTATACACATTGTTGACATATTTTTCCATGAACAGTTATACAGATTATGCAATGGAAAACACAAAATGTTGTCGCTGGTGCGACATTTATATGAGGAATCCAGAAAATGTTGTTATAGGGGCGTCAGTTAATTGGGTGTAATAACCTTTACCGTGGTTATGTTTGATCCAAACCTGACCCCCTTGCTTAAGTCGTAATGTCACCATGTTTGTACCTGTTTCATAGCCAACGTTGCTGTTAAACACTTCCGCGATTGCTCGGGCCTTACTAGATCCGTTTAGCACAATGTCTATCCAAATATCTGCATTGTTACTATCACTTTGGATACTGACATAGAACATATAGTTCCCGCCAGTGGGCGCGGTAAATATTCCATTGGACAGATTATACCCATCTCCTACGTTGTTGATAACTTTGTCGAACACCAATATCCCGCCGCTCCAGGAACTACTCCTTAACCTCACCCCAGCAGTGAAGGCTACAGATACACTATTCGGCAAATCTATAATACATTAAGAGTGGAATAAAGTCGTTTGTAAAAAGAAATCGTACAGGACAACTAAATATCCTATCTATTTAATATCATATCCTTATGTTTTTATGTATTACAAATTACATAAACTTCCATCAGTTATAATTCTTTAGATATAATAAATGACTAAAGCAACTTTAGAAATAAAATGTATTAGATTTTTATCATTCAACTGGAGCCCTATTAAAGTTATTGCAAAACGTTTTACATTGGAACCCATATAAGTCAGGTGACCAGACTAAATTCAATATAGAGTGTGCTAACCTATGTTATTCCCATTAATATTAAAGTCATGTGATAGAATACATAATAAGTTTACATAAAAAATAAATTTAGTTTAAAAGCATACATATTTTAAGCACTTCAATATAAAGTTGGAAGTATGGAATCGGAGAAGTGGGTTTGTGACGGTACATATTGTCGTTTTGTACATATTGTCGACGGCGACAATATGTACCTACCCTCACTGCACATATTGTCGTCCATCGGTACATATTGTCGCCGGCGACAATATGTACCGAGACGAGCCTCATTTTCCTCCTGCATATTGGACGACAAAATGTACAGTCAAGCACCAGCACATATTGTCGTCAGCGACAATATGTACAGTCAAGATCGGCATATATTGTCGTCGATATATTGTTTTGACGAATATTTAAGTACAGGTCCACGTAAGAATCAGGCAATCGGTGATAAGTCGAATATTTCATATTCGGCCAATATTTTTATATTATTACTTGATACAGTACTAATTAAAATAAATCATGATTTTTCCAAAAAGGCACATCCAGACTGTGATATGTTACTATAAATAGATTCGGGCATTTATGGGCCAAAATGTCAACCAAAAAAGAGGAAGTTTAGTACAGAAGTAACAAGTGTTGTTGTTTTTCATAAATTTTCTAACCCTATTTTATTTTGAGAGGAATCTGTATCCTTCTTGTATTAGTTGTCATGGAGTTGGTATCTAGGTCGTATCCATAGTAACCATTGTAATTATATGTCAAGACATTTTGGATGTCACAAACATTGTGAATTTAAAACAATATTATTAAAAACAGCATACACATTATGTAGCTAATTACACATGGAAAAATAAAACAACTGCTCATTATTAGTTTTCCAGTTTGAAAAGTGTGGAAAAATCAATTAGCAGTTTTTAATGAAAAGGAAAACTATTGAGAAATTTTGATAAATTGCTTGAAGTTTGACAAGATTTTTTCCTAAATCTAACTGCATTGTGTGTAAAATTTAACTTTTATTGAATTGTTTCTTAATCAAATTTATCACATTATTATGAATTTTTCTATTCAATGTACCAAGTTTACTCTGGAATTAATTTTATTTCTCTAAAATAGTTTTGGAGAGAATTATGATCGGGATCGAAATTCTGTATATTAATTAACCAACTTTGATGATTCCAGATTTTTTTTCTGGTTTTATTTTAAACAGCTGTTAAAACTAAGCAGGTGCATCCAGTTTTCTTGTATTACTTTTTTCATATAGTAAACATGATGACCAATCACTATCTATTTGGGTGATTCTTCTTATATAAGCATTTATTTATTTATGTTTTTTTATTTAGTTTTTCAGCTTTTACTTTTGTCAAATACTAACTTAATATATATAACAACAGAGAATACATTATGCTACATGAAGACAATTATTATGTAAAAACAAGTCAGAGTATGTTAGTCTCTGCTAGCAATGTCCTAAAACTCTCAACATTTATAGATAAAATTATAAATTCATGTAATAAGTTCTTTGACTCCTTCTAAATCATACTACATGTATATGAAAGGAATGTAAAGGATTTTGTTCAACTGCAGAAAATGATGCAGCTGCAACATTTGATTTACTCTACCATTATATGAGCAGCAATATGATATTTTTAATTGCATATTTAACAAATATGTCATTTTGTTCAACATACTAAACTAAATGTTTTAATATGAAAATTTCCAAGTTTATTCTTAAGAAATCAACAATGACCAATTTGCAAAAAAGGTTTAACATGTTTATTAAATGTTAACAATTTACATGATTTATAAATTACATTGTACATTATACAAAGATCAAAATTTGTAGAAGAAAAGTTGTTACAATATCAGTTCTTTATAATCATCATTCCATCCCAAGATTTAAAAAAAAAAATGCTTTTTAAACTACAGTACTTTTCAAGCAGACATGCACATTCAAAATTCTGAACTTGATTAATTTAATATATGGACTTGTGGTGCTTCTACTTTTGGATGGTTTCCGTTGTTTTCTCATATAGTACTCGCCACTCTAAATCTCAACTGGTATGCTATTCCCTTTGTTTTCAAAAGTTAATGAGCAATGTAGGACTAAAGTTCTACCTACACTACTGTCACTAGCTTTTATTATGGTTAAACACAACAAAAGGCACCAGATTCACTGCTCTATGTGATTTTAGAAAATTCTTTCATTTGTAAAGTTTGTCTCCTCATTTTTCACTAAATTTTGAAGTTTGGACAGGAGAAGAAAACCTCGACTGTTTGAGAAGACCAAAGAACTCTTCTGCAACTTGAACTTGTCTGAAAAATTAAATGCAGTGGCATATTACCCAGTATTTTAAACTCTGAATAAGCATAAAATTTAATATTATGAAACAATTTAATTACTTATCTCTAAAAAACATTTTTAAAGTCTTAAGCAAAATATTTTTTTTAATTGGTAGTTTAAAATAAAATAAATATCTATACCCATTTTATAAAATGGGGTTCTCCTAATTCAATAAGGAAGGATTTCCAAAATAATGATAATTATAATAATAAATAAATAAAAATAAAAAATAAATAAATAAATAAAAAATTAAAGTTAAAGAACGAAAGCCTTTTATATAAAGATGATACTCTATTTCATCATTAAATATGGATATTAACGTAATTGCATTGCTTCTTGCTACAGGATGTCATCTTATTTTAAAAATATTTTTTTTAAAATTGTGATAACTTTCAGTAGCTGTTTTGAGTTATTCATGTTCTTACACTGGTTCGGTTCTCTGGAGTAGGGAGTGATACATTCATTCTGATACTTTTTTCTAACATTTCTTTGCTAGGAGTTTGTTTGTTTTTAGCTTTACTGGTCAGAGACCAGAAGAGCTAATGCGATAGTAAGGTGTCCGTCGTCCGTCCGTTTGTCTGTCTGTCCTTCTGTAAACAATTTTTCAAAACGCTACTCCTCCTACATTTTTGGTCTGATTTCAATATAACTTGGCACACAGAAGTAGACTACACTAAGATACATAATTCTGTGTATCTGTTTTTGATTTCATTGTACAGTGTTGCCATGGTTACTAAAAATAGAGATTTCTGTGAAAAAACTTTCAAAACGCTACTCCTCCTACAGTTTTGATCTGATTTCAATATAACGTAGCACACAAGTAGACTATACTAAAATACTTAATTCTTTGTATGGGTTTTTGATTTCGATGAACGATGTTGCCATGGTAACTAAAAATAGAAATTTCTGTGAAATAGTTTCAAAACGCTACTGCTCCTACAATTTTGGTCTGATTTGAGTATAACCTGGCACACAAATAGACTACACTAAGATACTTAATACTACTTATCGGTTTTTGATTTCAATGAACGGTGTTTCCATGGTTACTAAAAATAGAAATTTATTGAAATACTTTCAAAATACTACTCCTCCTACACCTTTTGTCTGATTTCAGTATATCTTGGCATACAAGTAAACTACACAAAGATACATAATTCTCTGTACAAGTTTTGGATTTCGATGAACAGTGTTGCCATGGTTACTAAAAATAGAAATTTATTGAAATACATGTACTTTCAAAATGCTACTTCTCCTACACCTTTTGTCTGATTTCAGTATAACTTGGCATACAAGTAGACTACACAGAGATACATAACTGTCGTTATTGTTTTTCGATTTTGTTGAATGATGTTGCCATGGTTACTTAAATCGTAATTTCTGTAAAATTATTTTAAAAGGCTACTCCTCCTACAGTTTTAGTCTGATTGCAATAAATCTTGCCACAAAAAGAGACTAAACCGTGGATCATTATTCAATGTATTGCTGTTGCAAAGTTTCAAGTCCAAGTGCTACTTTTATCTTCCTTTTGAAGTACAACCAGTAAAGCTACAGTCTCAGAGACTTCTGGTTTTTTGTTTTTTTTTTTAAATTTGCAAACAAATATCTAGTGAAAGCCGGAGATAAATTATTTTCCTTCCTTTTCAATATATTATATCATACGGGGTTTATATCTCTCAGTTGATTCGATACGCAAAAGCATGCACCACGTATGCACAATTTCTAAAACGAGGTAAATTATTGACAAACAAGTTGATGAAACAATAATATCAGCAGTCTCGTTTAAAGTCATCATTCGTAAGTTCTATGGTCGATACAATGTCCTTGTCAGCAAATACATTTTATCATTGAGTCAAATGCTGACTGACGTTTTTCATACTAATTGTTAGGCCATTATTTACACACTGAATTGTCGACGGATTTTTCCGTTATTTCCCGATCATGACAAGGAGAACACGGCGGGTGTGACCGGTCGGCAGGGGATGCTCACTCCTCCATGGCACCTGATCCCACCTCTTATGTTTTGGAGGTCCGTGTTTGCTCTGTTCCTATTTTGTATTGTTTAATGGACCTTTGAGCTTGAATACTGTTCGTTATCTCAATATATTTCATCAGGATAAGTCAAAACACAACACGAAAATCATAACTCAAATGTATTTAGAAATGTTTAGAAATGTTTTAATAATTATCATAAAATATTCAATTAGATAGATAATTGATTGCGTTTTGAGTAATTTAATATATAATTTTGGAATATTAACCCATGTTGACCGTAACGTATCAAAATTGTTCATGTTAAATTTTTGAATTGATATGCATTTTTCCATTTTGTAATTTAGAGTTAAATGATGTAGCAGCCCAGTTATCATAGGTATTGTGTTCTGTTTGAAACAAAAAAAGACCAATATCATATGTGTGAAAGCCAACTCTTTTGGAAGTTTTTGTAAATATTTGCATATAAAGATTACTTAATAATGGAGAAAGTTTCGTACGATTTAAAAACACATGCTTTGTTTCTGAAAAGTAAAACATCCTGAACACAAATATCACTATAATTTCATAAGAAATGATGGTTCCTGATTCCGTCTAAATATTGATGTTTATTTACATGGCTGTTATTCAAATATCAGTAAATTATTTTTATTCACTTTTCGTGTACAATAACATTCTCAAATAAAGATAAATTGAAGGGTAAATTCCCTCTTGATAAATGATTTTTCTATTAGACGTTGTTTTCTTATATCTAGATGTAGCATAAATAATATTTTCTTAATTACATAATGCAAATGTTAAAAATAAGAATCTATGTTCAAAATCAATAGGAGTTAAGAATTTTCCTTATTGATGTAAGAAATCACAAACATTTAACACCATTTTTAAAACAGGTCTTTGTAAAAAAAAATTCTATTTCTTATTCTTATAAAATATGTCTATACCATTTATCAAAATATCAAATCATGGTTGATTGTTTTTGGCTACCCTTTTAATCCAGGAATATTTTATGAATAACAGAGCTGTTTATATCACACATTTTTATCCTCCTTCTAAAATTACTTGAGTTTTAATTTTTCTTTTAACTTTATCACATTTTTATTTCCATATAAATTCCAAGATTTCCCGTTGAACAATGATATTGCTTCTTTAATTGGATTTGGTAGAAATACAAGAAGACGGTAAATTTTTGGTAGAAGTAAAGTTTACAGAACTGTTAAACTTCCAATAGGAGTAAGAATCCTTCGTTTATTTTGTTGAATTAATGCTTTAATTTTTCGTAATTGAAAATTGTATTTTTTTTATTAATAATTTTATCTAGTTTTCAATTTAGTTTTATTGAGAAATCAATTTCAAGTAAATTAGAAGTTGTGCAACCCCATTCAAGTTTTCAACTGGAATGGTAAAAAAACATTTAAAGAAATGTTTTGAACTTATCCAAACAATTTTGGTTCTTGAGCTTTTAAATTTATGCCCTGAAAATTTTCAGAAATCAATAAAATCTAATGCTGATGAAAGAGATTCATGTGAACTTTCAAGGCCCAGGTAGATATCATCCACATATAGGGATATTTTATATTTTGTCTAACTTATTAACAATTCCTTTAATCTTTTGATTTTGTTTAATAATAATTGCTAGACTTTGAACAAAGAGTAGAAGCAAAATTGGTGCAACAGGATTTACCTGTCTACATCCTCTGTCGATGTTCAGTTAAAGTCCACATTGTTGTAGAGATGTACCAAATTTTGGATTCAATTCTTTTAATTACCCCCAGTTTTTGAGAGCTAGGAAGTGTTTTTTTCTGAAATATGTCATTTATGGCAAGTACTAAAAACCTGTCCAAAACATTTAGCAGAGAAGCCATTACTTTCCCGTGATTTACAGTTTTTCTAAATTATTCCCATCGAGCGTTTTTGCAACATCATTTTCAATTATTGGAACTCTTTCACTTTAATAACTTTAAAAGATCTATATGTGGAAGTTCTATATCTTCACAAATATAAAGAATTTGTAATACATACCGATTCTTCTTAAAATTTCTGACTGGTTGTAATTTCATTTTCTTCAGTATAGACCTTTTTGATAATCTTGTTGAAATTATTATGGTATTTTAGTTTACAAAGAATATGTTGATGAATTTTCTCCATCTTCAACTCATATGGCTTACTTGGACCTTATGTACCTTATAAATTAATACCTTTCTAGCTTTTTGCCGGTGGAGAGCTGCAAATTTTGACCTATATTTGGCATTCAGGACCATTTAGCTTGGATTACGTTTTTATGCAAGTTTCATCTGATATTTCTTTAGATTTTGTAAACATTAACTGTTGCTATTTCAATACATTGTTCATTTTAAAATGTTGCCTGGTCTTGTTTAATCTATTTGCTTAACTGCACTAAAGCTTTTTTTTATCTGTATTGGTTTAATGCTACCTGTAGATGCCCAACAATTTAATTATTATCCTTATTTAGGCATACAGGTAACATATTGGATGCAAGCAAACCAGCAAGGGATTTGTTGGAGAGGGTAAAACAATGTATGGCGTCAAAGAAATGTCAAAAACACAGAAGAGCATTGAAAAATTTATAGCAACATAAATATTAAAGACATACTGTGCTATAGCATATTATAGAAGTGCTGTAAATCAGATTTGGATTTTCAAAAAACTCCAAAGGGTTTTAGAAATTCTGAAATCACCAAATTTTTCAAAAGTCAAAAGCTTCAAAACGTACGACTTTTTTTTTTTATATACTTTTTACAATTATTCCTCACGATAAATTAAAAACAAGGCTTACTGGTATCTTAAACAACTGCTTTCTCAATGAAAATGTAACTCGGAAATTTTCTTGTAATTGGTAATCAGCAAAATTACTTTGTTAAAAATAACTCTGATTCTACACACAAGTAGTTTGATATTTAAAGGATGCTAGAGTTACTCATCGACAACATTTATGTAGACTTTGGAGACCAGGTCTTCCAATAAACTGTTAGAATTCCGAATCGCAATCAACGCAGAATGTAATAACGCAAAGTATAATAACAGACTCTTTAGGATTATTACATTTTGCGTCGAGATTATCGCAGAATGTAACAATGTCCTTTTTGATTATTACATTTTGCGTTATTTGATTTTTTCGTTGAGGGCAAAGCAAAATGTAAAAAAAAAAAAATAAAAATGTAACAACACGAAACAAAATCTTTTTTTGTATTGTGTTCAACGAAAAACATCATAAAATTGATTTAAACATATCTTTAATATTATAAAATATGAATATGTATTGTGCCGAAGTGGATGAGTCGGTTAGGAGTATGAAATGTTTTTAACTGATACTTTATACATAATTTTCTTTTGTTTATGCATTAATAAAGCTTTGTCTCATAGAATTTTGAGTTTTTGTTTCATAGTAAAATTTTGCATTGCACGCTATTTCACATGTGTATTCCTTGTGACAAGACCTTTCTTTAGGTACAACCATGTATGACATTTTGACCTTGACCTTGGAGTTTGACCCAGTTTTGAAAAATTTACCAAACATTAACCTTGGCCATAACTTTTGAACAAACAATGCTATGGCTTCCATACTTCACATGTGTATTTCTTGTGACAAGGCCTTCCTTTGGATACCAACAACTTTGACCTTTTGACCTTGACCTTGGTGTTTGACCTATTTTTGAAAAACTTTTACCTTGGCCATAACTTTTGAACGGTTACTGCTAAGGCTTTCACACTTCAAATGTGTAATCCTTGTGACAAGACCTTCCTAGGGATATCAAAAACTTTGATCCTTTGACCTTGACCTTGGAGTTTGACCTACTTTTGGAAAACTTTACTTTAACCTTGGTCAAAACTTTTGAACGATTTATGCTTCGGCTTTCATATTTCAACTGTGTGTTTCTTGAGAGAAAGCCTTTCCTTGGGCACCATTAATTTTGGCTTTGACCTTGATATTTGACATACTTTTGAAAAAAAAATTTCTATATCTATTCAATGGTTGCTGCTAGGGCTTTCATATTTCATAGGTTTATTCCTCGAAACAACGCTTTACTTTGGGTACCAACATATTCTATTTGCATTTGTGAAAGTTTAACCTTTGCTATAAGCTGTCATACGGGGGCATCAGTGTTTCACAAACACATCTTGTTTATCTGAGGTTTTTCTTGGGCGGCGAGGGAAGCATAGTGTGTTCATTATACATATATTATTTTGCTTTGATTATTGTGGTAAAAACAATAGGGCCTGGCATCGTCTCGCAGCGTGCTTAAATGCATTTTGTACTATTCAGTGAGACATTGACATATGAACATTGTGTTAAAAATGTTTTCATGTATTGTGATATTTTAGTAATTACATTTTTGATACATTGTAGAAGGAAGTTAAAGAATCGGTATCATTGCAGACTTGTATTTTGTAACTGTATACGTCTATTAAATGCTGACAAACAAGCGTTTCTTTCACTAAACATGTGTTATGATTGTAAATAATTTATGTTCGTTTGAGTGAAACGAATTAGAACATAACAACACATCACCCTGTGTGAATGTAAGGCAATTTAATCGGCGTACGGTAACTTGACGAGATATTGTACGCCACCACGTCATTGCATTCATTCACACAACCAGTTTAACGTAATTCTGCAGCAGGACAACGCACGATCGCACACCGCACGCGTTGTTAGTGACTATCTTCAGCAGCAAAATGTGATTGTGCTACCTTGGCCTGCATTGCCACCGGATTTATCGCCTCAACATAATTGTGATGAGATGGAACGACATCAAGGAAAATAGCCACCCCTTCTACGTTGGATGCTTTGTGTCGTTCTTTATTGCATTTCCCAGACATTTTTGCGTAACCTGATTCGTTCAACTCGTCGTAGGTGCGAAGAATGCATGGGTGCATATGGCGGCTATACACGCTATTAAACTTTTGTGAAACTTTTTTGCACCCCCCCCCCCCATCATTTTCAGTGGTATTTGATATTTGAATTGAAAGAAGTGCATTAAATTAAATACTGATATACATTGTGCAACATATTTTGACTCTCTACATAAAATTACTTTTTCCGCTAATATATATCTTTGATTTATAATAAATAAAAGTGAAATTGCCCATGCGAACGGTATAACGTATAATCATGCATACAAATATGTGTTAATATGGTTAAAATGGCATCATATTGTTTTTATTGTATTAATATAAATTATATCTGTTTATAAAATACGAGGGTTGTTTGTTTGGAAATTATTGAGACATTAACTCATACTCCATAAAGGAAAGAGATATATTCTTGAAAATTTGTCATAATTTTATCAAGAATAATAAGACAAATGTATAAAAGTTCAGATTAATAGGATAACTAGATACTAAAGTACATGTAAGTCCCGGTGAAAATATAAACTTGCATATGTCTATTGACCTGGACCAGCATCGCTACGTTATTTTAACGTAAACCAACCGTAGATCTTCTCTCATGTTTAACATGGCCGTAGGAACCGGAGGGGGGGGGGGACGTGCCCCCAAAATAATTTTGCGGATATATAGATTACTTTAGTAAACTCAGATACTATATGCTTGTGCCCCCTTAATAAAAACGTCTGATGACCTTTTTTTAAAAAAATTATTTTATTTATTTATTTTTTCTTTTTGCTTGTCAAGGAATTTTTGGTAGTTGATGACCCTTTTTTTTTTGCTTGTCAGGAAATTTTTGGCAGTGCTCCCTCAACTGAAAATGTATGGCTGTGCCCCCCCCCCCCAACTGAAATTGCTTCCTACGGACCTGTTTAGCTATCGGGAAGTGTTTGCTCTTCCTTTTCTGTCATCACATATAACATTCTAGAAATAAAACTTTTTCTTTTTTAACGGCTCTTTAAAAAAACCAATAAAATATGTGTTAACGTTGTTGCTACCCCAATGTAAAATTACATGAAGTGTCAACAGTACAGTTTAGTCAGTATAATTAAGGGTTGTTACATGGCTTGACAAGAGCGCACTTTGTGTTTGTTGCATGTTTCTTTGTTTCTTGATTGAATGATTACAACTTTTCAGGTAGGAGAGCTAGGCCCTCTTATTAGGCAAAGACACGCACCTGTTGTATATTTCTTGATACAATAATCAATTTACACCTCCCTTTCAGAAAGATCCATGCAGACGGGCAATTAAGTGGAAATTCGTGGTCAGTAGAGTAGAAACATGCAGAAAAAAAAATGCATAGAAAATTAGCCGGGTCATAATTTAACGCCGAATAATGACCTTTTTGCATGTAGAAAAAGTAGCATCACCCTTATAATCTGCATACCATAGGTAGAGAAAAATGACCCCCGGAAAATAATGATCCCTTAGAGATTTTATAAAGGATATATTTTCCTTTTTGTTTTAAAAGATCAAGAATTATAAATCAAGATACCATTGGGCCAAAATGCTCACCCGAGGTAAATTCAGGATACAGCGATAATATATTGATCTCGTTATATGTAAATCTTACGAATAAAATAATCTATTATTATAATTTATGACAAATTTCCCATTAATCGTCTTCAAGCTACAGTATGTGGACAGACGTGTCGTCTGACTCTAACCACATGTTTTTTGCTGATGATCTTATTCTTGTATCGGAGAAACCTACTGGTTTACAGAAATGTATAGATATTTTAAGTAAATATTGTCATGAATGGAAATTATGTGTGAATATGGAAAAAAAATATGTTATGATTTTTTCTCAAAGTACAAATAATGAAAATGTATATGGTTTTTACTACAATCATAGCCCTTTAGAAATAACAAATCAGTATAAATATTTGTGACTTGCATTTAAGTCTGATGGGAAAATGAAATTGTCAGCGGAACAGCTGTCAGGAAGAGCTAGAAAGGCCTATTATGCTATAAAAACTAATTTTTCAGCTAATATAAATTTTTTCTGTCGAGACAATATTAAAACTTTATAGATCTATGATTACTCCATTCTTAACTTATGGTTCTGAAATTTGGATTTCAGACTACAAATGTGATTTATTATCCTCAGATCATTTCCCATTTGAAAAAAATACAACTCCAGATATTTAAAGACATTCTGGGTGTTCATAGAAAATCATCTAATATTGCTGTTCTATATGAGTTGGGACATTTCGCACTATTTTATTTGTGTTCCGAAAATATGTTTAAATTTTATTCAAGATTGAAAAATTTAGAGTCAGAGAATGAGCATCATAACCAGTTAGTCGTGTATGCATTTAAGGAAGATAAAACACTCGGGTCTAAAGTATCTTGGCAAAAGAAAACTTTTTACTCTACAACAGAAATTGTCTTTATCCTCAATGGACATATCACATAAAACTTTAAGACATAAATCAGAGGAGCACTATAGGAATAAAATCTGTGAACAGTTAAAGAACATTTCTAAATCAGGTTCTGGAAAATTAAATTTTTATAGTAATATAATAAATTTAAATGAATATAAATAAGAGAACTACCTACAATTACCATTGAAGAAATCTGAAAGAACAATCCTAACAAAACTAGGAATTAGTGCTCATATACTACATATTGAAATGGGGAGATACTCAAGGCCACCTATTCTTAGAGAAAACGTGTATGTCATTCTTGTAAACTTTTTATTGAAAATGTAAAACATTTTGTACTTTATTGTCCTAGTTATGATCAGTATAGATCATAATATTGTGATATATTTAATGCTCAATGTTACATGAAGGAAAACCCTATTTTTGACATAATCAACCCTCCAAGTATTAAAATTGCTAGAAGAGTATGTAACTTTCTGAAAAAAGTGTTTTGATTTTAGAAAAGAGAAACTTCAACATAACTGATATGCTTACTGGAATATTTTTATTGATTTTATGTATGCTATTGTTTGTTGTATTCATGACTATATGTCAATGTATGATGGTGCTACCAAATAAAAGAATTGAATTGAATTAATCTACATTCTTCTGGCGTATGTTTATTTAATTCGTGCAATGGAAGACCTTATATTTCCATCTAAATCGCTTGATCATCTGCACGAAGACAAGACCTGTCAAAACTATAATTTTTATTGTCAGATTACCGCATTATTGCATTATATTGTAACCGTATTTATGAAAGTTATGGCCTTTATGAAGTTCTGCTTGTTAAAGTTATCATGATTATATATTTACAAAATATATTTACTAACAAGGTCATTATAATGATCCAGTGATTTTCGAAATGCTGGTTTCCATTGAGACTAGCTTTTGAAAGCTTATTTGTCAATATCCTGCCATTGTTTAAAAGATGATTGTACTTACAGCATGCTCAAGCGTACCGAATAAGTTGGAAACAATACACCATATACAGGCGATAGTGGAACATTACATCATAATTACATGTTGACGATGACAAAGATTAGATAGACTGAAAGATAATGACACATGTAAGGCTGTTATATTACATTTTAACTGGATATTCGTCCAGTATTCGTCAGAGGATTAAACGTTGAGATCCAAACCTTAGCAACAATCACCTTTTCTTAAACTTTGTAACACTCCTTAGGGATGGGATCATTTTTCAACGGGGATCAACTTTTTATGTACAGTGTATATATTTCTTATATGTTGCACATAGAGAAATTGATCGCTTTGGTTCTTTTTGTACAAAAATGGCATTTTTGTACGACTGGGGTCATTTTTTGACGTCCTAGTCATTATTCGTCTTTACACCGGCGTAAAAGATCTGACTGCCCCTTGTTATTTTTCAGTGCACACGAGGAAAGAGTTTTTAACTTCTTTGAACTCTTTTGTCAGTTTATTTTATATACATGTACCTTTAGAATCTCTCTCTCTCTCTCTCTCTCTCTCTCTCTCTCTCTCAAAAGCTAATGAAAGCAAAAAAAAAAAAAAGTTTTCTAAACTATTAGTAAATATCACAAGAAAACATCACACTCCATTCACAGATGAATTCGGGAGATCATCACATCGGAAAGTCAATTACATGAATATGCTTTTGTAAATACTTTTACTTTTGATAAATACGTGGTCCGAACCAAAAACAGTTCCAGAAACATAAGTAGTATTTCATTTTTTGTACTAGTATCTATTAACAAAAGTAAAGAACTCACTGAAAGGAAAAAGATCTAAAATATCATTGCTCTTTTCTTGGCCTATATAGTATTCCAAATGTATATTCGTTACACAAGTTACGTTTGGAGTTAGAAAGTGGAAATCAGAACTTATAGTTATCGAATGCTTACCAAACATTGAAGACATGAATGCACTCTGAGAGTTTTCCAGGTTTAAGACTGACTTTGATATTTTTGCACTGCAAGCAAATAATTCATTGTTCAAGGTTTCAAGCCAAGTATTCAAATTCGGAGACAAAATCCAATACTTTTTCTCTATCAAAATAGGGATACTCTTGTCTATTTCCAAAGTGTGTTTGTTCAGGTCAAGGAGAATAACTGACATATATTGAACTTCAACTTTCAAGTCTCAAAGTATGGTACTGGTGTTTTTCTCAAAAGCTTCTCTCTTAAATTCTGATTGTTCTGCACATTCAAATATGTGTTCAGTCATTTGAGTAAAGTTTTCTTTGACTGCATGGAATAACTCTTCATACCTTCTGTGTTCAAGCTTAAGTCTCTCATTTTCTCGTTTTAGTTCGTTCACTTCCTGTTTCAATGCTGTCACCTCTACTTCCTTTTTCTGACGTTTCCAATTTCTCCATACTTTGTTTCAGGTCGACCATATCCTTCATGAATGTATGTACACATGTACATTTTTCACCAATGCTATTCTAATAACTGTTTCTTAATTCAAAAGTTGTCTCACAACGTCCACATTTTTCAAATTAATGTCATCTGTGTTCAACTGGCCGGCATGGGTGATATTGGACCACTGATACCTGTGAGTATAGAAAGACTGTGAACTTGAAGAAAATTCAGTAGGCTTAAAGTTAAAACAACAGCGTGCTTTATCTTGAAAGTCGTGATTTAAAATGCTAAAAGATGTTCAATTGTATGTTCATATGATTTCTTTACTTTGCATTGTTGTATTTTCAGGCTGAAGATTGAATACATCATGAAATATATGGAGTTAACGAACAGTATTCAAGCTCAAAAGTCCATTAAACAATACAAAATAGGAGCAGAGCAAACACGGACCTCCAAACATCAGAATATCATATATATCACATCATATAATGACATTATGTACGCGAGAAATTTTTAGGATTAAGTTATTGTTGTGGTGCATTAGATGTTAAGTAATATTGCTTGTAATCATTGAGTATACCTTCATTGCGTCTCTTGTATCTTCATTAGATCCTTTTTGATACAAATTCGTCTGACGTAATAGTACGATCATAAACGTGTTTCAGAGACTATTTTTAGCATTTAAAAGTAATTATGTTAGGTCATGTGTGCTATCGCAAAGAAAGATTTTTTTTCTTCAAGTTTTTGTTGGAATTATATTGTCTGTTGTGAGGAGGAGAAACTTCTTCTATTTTCACGATATCTCTTCTGTACAAGATCAACACTCGTTAAAGGATCTTCGTTTCATGTTTCAATCACGTCTCTTAATGGGTTCTTTAATGATTAAATGTCAACATTTCTAAGTTGAAAAAAAAGTCTTTGTGCAAAAGCTCTTGTATTTTATGTGTGAATGATTTTGCAGAGCATTAATAAAGCTGCAATATGTACTAATGTATGTTTAAACATGTGTTGAGTACCCTTTAAATGACACCATTATCTTCTAATGCAAGTTTATGATCCTCGACGTTACAAGAATCCCCATCGTTGCAAGCCATGAGTTTTGTGTCCATTTTATTTCCACAAATCTATGGCTGTCCACTACAAGTTCTCGCGAAAGAATCACTGAATATTTATTAAGTGACAACAGATTTAACTTTCCGATGAAAATTATCATTTTGGGTACATTAGCATGGCGACGCCCATAAAGAAATCATGTGGGCCATGTGTGGCAAATTTATTCATTAAAAATGCGATAGATCCTGATGAACAGAGGTGAGTAAAATATATTATAAAATAGTAATAAAACTAAAACATTCACTGATCATATTCATTGGACAAGAGTTCCCTGACTTAAAGCGTTATATCATTTTCCTATTAGTTGTATGGTAAAAACACGCTAGTTTTACCATACAATGTTCCTTTTTCACTTGGTTTGTATTTGTCTCAAAAGCATTACTGTTATACATTTCTGCATTGCTCTGACATTCTAGAATCCGATTACCTTTAGATCTATAGTATCTGCAACTCGTGATGCTGATATAAAACACGGCTCTCTGTTTATGGTCGCCGTGAATCCAACGTTTCACCGAAATTGAAAAAATTCACTTCAGAAATAAAAAAATATATCGATATTGACTATCAGTCAAAACAAGTTTTGGGAAATTGCGTGCAAGGGTACGTATGCAAGGTAACTTATTTTTTTCTCAGATCTTTATATATTTTCATATACTGTAATTTCCAAAACTTCGCTCCATTTTAAAAACCAATTAGAACTTTTTGGAATGTAGAATTGTAGGCCAAACCTTTACCTTTAAAAATTCCTTTTCAATACTTAGAAATCTGTTCTTTAGAAATATAGAAATATACTTAGAAATCTGTTCTTTACGTATATATATATATATATATATATATATATATATATATATATATATATATATATATATATATATATATATATATATATATATATATATATATATATATATATATATATATATATATATATATATATATATATATATATATATATATATATATATATATATATATATATATATATAAGACGTATTGTGAAGCTTCTGAAGATTGAAAATGAAAGCGCTCGAGCTTTACTTAACGTTTTCGTGTTTCTTTTTTTAAATTGTACCCATAATTTACCGAGCACTTACTGGATTTATATTTGTATTTCTATACATATATATATATATATATATATATATATATATATATATATATATATATATATATATATATATATATATATATATATATATATATATATATTCAAAATTCCTCTTAAGGTTTCCTTGCCAAAGCAACAATTAGGTTAATTCTTTTTTCTTTCTGGTGAATTTCATAAGAATTTTTTTTCTCTGTTTTTTGGCCACATTTAAATTATAATTGCTTTTATTTTCCGGATATTTTCTGAAGACATCAAGTCTTTGAGTTAGGAAAACACTCACCTTAAGGTTTTTCCCCAAAGCAACAAATAGGTAAATTTCCTTTCTCTTTTCTTAGTTGTAAATGTTACAAGGATGTTTTTTTTCTGTTTTTTTTTTTGGGGGGGGGGGGGTATTTAACGTATAATCGTATTATTGCTATTATTTTCTGGATGTATGTGTAATCAAAATGAATGAAGACATCACGTCTTTCAGTTTGGAAAACACTCACCGTCACTTTTCTACATTGTTGCAAACACCAGTTATAGGACTCTGAACATGTTCAAAAATGCAAATTTCAATCTTTGGTTCATTTTGCTATGGTAACCCTGACATATAACAGTTCCCTTTTGCCTGATACAGGTTTATGACATCAGAGTCTTTTCTTATCGAGAGTATGAAAAGAACAGGGATATACTTGCTACGGCTCCTATGTAAGAATACAACAGAGAATGGTTCTCAATACATGTTATATTAGTTGTACTTTACTATTCAAAAGTATCATAGCAGAATTATGTACATATTCAAATATAATATCATACCTTGTGCGCAGTAATAAAAGTCTACCGGTAAATACTCAAAAAAGACGCTGTTCTTACAAATAATTGAAAACAAGAATAGCATCTATTTTAATAGCAAACGATTACATCTGATTTTGTAAATCAGGCCAATAAGTAACAACAAATATAATAGATTAGAAATTCAGTTCACCTGCTGCCAGTAACAAGAACACATACATTTTACTTTAGGGCATTGTATTAAAATGTATGCTTTAAATGTAATTAAAAAAATGATCAAAATTAATTAATCAAAATAAAAACAAATAACCTGGTCATACACACCTCTGCTGTAAGTTTTATCATTAATTTCAAAATTCGCTCAATTTCTCTGTTCAAACAAAAATGCAGACTCTGAAAGGGCGTTCGGTATTGTTAAAAATACACCTGTACAAAAATCTTTCATTCCTCTCCAAACCATTTGCAAGTACCTGATCCATTTTGCCTCATGTCTAGAGTTATAAATGATTATGTAACTTCATAAGTTGTTTGAACTCTAAGTAAGAGAATTTTTATATTTTCAAATAAAATTAATATTAAAAAGTAAGAAATCTAATTTACTCTTCAAATTTATGAAAAATTTCGCAAATGATGCAAATTTAACATTACAGTTCATGATATACACATATGTCAAATATTAAGTAGTTATCATATCAAATTCCAATGATCGGCATCATCGCCCAAATAACATTCAAGTAGATACATGTGTATACAGTTCCCATACTTAACATTATCATTGAAATTTCATACTTTAAATAAGGAATCCAGAAAACGTTGTAATAGGAATGTCGCTGTGCGTGTGATAACCTGTACCACTGTGATGTCTTACCCATACCATGTCTCCATCTTGTAGCCGTAATGTTACCAGGTTTGTACCCGTCTCCCAACGATCATTAGTGTTATAAGAATTAGCCATTGCTCGAACCTTGCTAGTTCCGTTTAATACAATGTCGACATATATATTGTTAGCATTGTAGCTTTGAATACTGACATAGAATACATACTCTCCCTCTACTGGTGCGGTGAAGATTCCGTTGGTGGGATTATATCCCCCTCCCACGTTATTAAAAACTTTATTATACACTAAAGTCCCACTGTTCCATGAGGTGCTATCAGACAACACTCCAGCAGTAAAAGCGACTCTCTTAGACAAGTCTACAAGTTAAGAATAGTCTGTGAACAAAGCAAAACAGTACAGAACAAATACGTGAAATTAAAAGATTAACAAGAATTCTCTTAAAAATTCTAAAATGGACGATAGAGGCACAACCTATGTACTTAATGAAATATGGACTCGAACGAACAGTAGATAACAGAAGATAACGAACAGTATTCAAGAATATTTTTGATACAATGTCAAAATAAAATGGAAATGCATTTATTCTATTTACCTTTTTTATAATTAAATATTGGTTAATATTTTTTTCTTTTGTAAGTACATTTGTAAAATATATTTTCTTTGAGAGAAAAAAATACCGCATTTATTTCTGGTAACATTCATTCTGAACACCTCCAGAGACGACACAGTGGTGGACAACTTCAAGTGGTCATACTGGGATTGTTTGACTTCAGTCCTTATGTCGCCTATTGTCTTGTTGATGTCATCTAAATGGACAAGTTTTTTATGCGGATACGTTAAAAAGGTGAAAGTAAAAAATGAGTGTAAAATGTTAATACAATTTTGAATTCTGAATGCTTTATTACAGGTAAGACAATGAAAACAATAAACAGTCATTTTTCGTAAGGTATAGTAAATTAAAACAGAATTAAACCAGATATAAGGGAAGGTGTAGCATACACATTTAACAAGATCAAATTTGTGAAGGATATCTATAATGTAAAAAAAAAAAAAAAAAAAAAAAAAAAAAAAAAAAAAAAAATTGCGTTCACTGGAAAATGAAATATTTAGGTTGCATTTGAGATGGATTGCAAAGCCCCATCTTCTAGCTAACGAAATTACTAATATATTTATTGGTCAAAGAAAGTTTTACAGAGTCATAGTCTCTATGTGAAATATGCATTTAAGCTATGTGCAAAAGTATAATGGTGATATAGTGGTCTAATCAAAGGATCAGCATATACTGCTATTAAAATGAATTCGCTTTAATTTCAGCATAAAATTTCATATATTTCATCTTTTATAAATGCCTTTATGTTACATACTCCATACAGTGTCAATTCTCCCGGACTACCTTCCCTACAAATAATGATATGGAGTTGTAGCGTAACATAATACTGCGCTTCTGGAGCATGTTTATGTTAAAGAAGAACTCTCTATGAAATAATACAGTCATTTATGGTATTCGGAATCACCCCGAGTTTTGCGACTCTCGGGACTTTACGTTTTGGCTGTACTTTATACTACAACTTCACACGTGTGACAACAAAGCAGACAGCATCAGCAAGGTACATATAATTAATTCCAAGAAATAAAATCAAAAATACCATGCATTAATTCATTAATTAATAATTTCATTAACCAACTCGCTACATCTTTATTGAAGAAATACCCCTTGTAGAAAACGTTGCATGACATTTGACAGCGCTGTCGTAGCGGCGTTTTTTGGTTGATACATGTCATATTGGGTATTGAAAGAACGGCAATTTTATAAGCTTCTAAGAGCTATAAATGTGTTTGAAAACACTTCAAAGTTATAAATGTTATGACCACATTTGCAACCCATTACAGTTTAAGATATTTCGAATCAGGTGTGTACATAAACGCGTGCACTCAGCACACACAAACACATGCTGATGCACAGTACTTTGTAGTGTCATATGCCAAGAGAATAAAGTAAATAATAACTATAACAGACTAGTCTGGGTTTATACGGGCCTTTTTTTTTTTTAACAAAAAAAAAAAAAAAAAAAGAAATTGTATTTCATTTACATGTATCAAAATACATACGTTCTGTAATATTTCTACTTATATATGTACGTATGTCCTTGACATGAGTGCACTTAGATAGATGTGGACTGGAGGGGAGTGGGGTTTTTTTTTATTAATGTTAAATATAGTGGATATAACAACCACCAGTCCTACCCAAAGAAAATCCGCTGTTGGTGCATATTACACAACAATATGTAATTCTTGATTATTGATTTGATATAGAAATGGAAAGAACTAAGGAACGCAAGGAAATTTGGACCCCATCTAAAAGTCATGCACAGAGACTAGCTGCAAAGGTTACAAGGAAATATTAGAATAAATCAGCCCACAAGACGACAACTGTTAGGAAAGTTTTATATCAGGTTAATTATAATAAATTATCTATTAGAAGAGCTGCATTAGAAAACAACCTCTCGTATTCTTTTCTCCAAAGAAGAGCATCTGGACAAGTAGATGTTGATAGTAAAAGAGCTAGGTTCAAGGTCTGTGATTTAAAATAAGTCAGAGGAGGAAGCAATGGAAAAATATTTGTCAGAAATGGCACAAAGAGGAATGAGGTTACGTCCAACAGAGTTTCTGGACTTTGTTGAAATATCTATCGTGAAAAGGGACGAGAGAAAATCCGTTTAAAGACAATAGACCTAGTTGGGATTGGTACTATGGATTTTTAAGGCGCAACTGTCACTTTATTCAAAAAAGAACAGAAACACCCCTGGAAATCTTTACAGCCAAGGTGACCGTGAAAGAGATTGATGACTGGTTTGATAAATATAGAATATTTATGTCTGACAATCTTCTCTTGGATAAATCTGAAATAGTATATAATGCAGATGAAACTGGATTTAAGATGGGATCAAAATCTGGTCATGGCATAGGTCCAGCCAAAAAGGTAAATGCAGACCCAGTTCCACATGTGTCGGGGGGAGGGGGGGCAAAGAGAGAGAGAAAGTTACTGTGATGTACTGTGCAAATGCTGAGGGCACAATAATTCCTCCTTTTTTGTGTTTTCCAAGCCATGCCAGCATCCTAGGACTTATTGGCTGGTTCACACAGATATGCTCATGCAGAATTCACAGAGAAGGGTTGGATGGATCGATGCAGAAACTTTCAGAAAATTCATAAAACATCTTCATAATCATGCTGTGAGAGAAAGACCATATATTTTTTACTAATTGATAGCGTAGGGAGTCATGTTGACATGGAATCTTTCTATAGAAATCTACAGGTTAGTAAGAAATGCAACTCACTTGACGTAACCACTGGATGTGGGAGTTTATGGACCCTTGAAGAAGAGTTGGTACAAACACCTTAGATCCCACACCAAACAACATTCCGAAGACATGGTTCGAAAACAAAAATTTGCCAGACACTTGCAAGTGGCATTTCTGGATTTCTACAAGCCATGAACAGTGCAAAAAAGTTTTGCTTCTTCTGGTGTGTTTCCAATAGACAGATCTAAAATTTCAGACTGTAGACTTAAGCCTACCTTTACCTATGAAGAAAACTTAGACAATCTTCAAAGCAGCCAAAGAGGGAAATTTTTTTAAAGACATTGTGTGACAAAAGGATATCATGACTTTAAAGTGAAACCATTACAGTCCAGTCAGCTACCACTTAGAGTTGATAGGGAATATACGAATATTCATGATTCTGATGCCTGTTTGGTATGGATTCCAGATAATGTTCCTGTTGATCTCAAAGACACAGTTACAGATGAAAAGAGGGGCTTAAAACTAAAAGATATAGAGGATCTTCCCTGTGGACATGTCCTTAGAGGTTTGGCCAGTGCATTTAGATATATAATGGATGTCGGAGGTGAAATTTCAGCCACAGTTACTGGTGCACCTACACCAAGTTTAATTATATTCCCACCTTTGCCACTATGCTCGAGAAAAGAGGAGATGTAGTAATTCCCTGTACATACCGAGTATGTTCAAATAATTTTTAGACTGCCTTGAGTCGCATCCAGATGCATCTTGAAGGCATGTCAGAAAAGGAAGTTATTGAAGTGACCACCTCCTAAAAAAACTTGTTTGAACTGTGCACATCTTTTGGAAAAAGTGTTTGTGATTTTTTTTGGGTTTGTCTTCTTGATATACACTCTGAATTTTATTGCATTTGTTCTAAACACTCTGTCACAATTGTCTTAAATGTAAGAGAAGAAAATGTTTGCCAAGAGTCTGGTTTGCTTTGCATTTATATTTATTATTATTCCTGTATATAATCCATATACTGTACCGTCCCATATTGAAGAAAGTTTATGGTCAGTTTTCTAATATATTTCAGCACTATTGATAATTCTTTATTTTATCCACTTTTGTGTTTCTTTATTTCTAAATATTTGTATGAATGATACTTACATATACATACTTGTACAATGCAATACATTCATGATCTCAGAGAGAGAGAGAGAAAGAGAGAGAGAGAGAGAGAGAGAGAGAGAGAGAGTTGTATATCAAGATGAAAAAATGGTGTCTTTTTTTTTCTTCTTAGAATGTATATTCATTCGGCATTTCTTTATTTTCATTTACTAATAGCACTCAGGGAAGTCTATTTTTATTGTTACAGTACTTAGATAAATCTTTTTTTTTCTTTGTTACAGTACTCAGGAAAGTCTATTGTTTATTAGTACAATTGTTTTGAATTCAATTAAAACCTTTCAGTGGTTAAAAAAAAAACTCTTTTTGTGTTTAATGATATTAACAGGATGGCAATCATTTTTATAATATTTTTGGGGTTTGTTTTTTGGTGGGGAGGGGGGTGCGATGAATGCTCTCTCCTGCACGATCCCCTCCTGTGTTTCTACAGTGATTTCAGAGGAGAATTTCTCAACTTAAAAGTAAACACCAACATGCACAAAGTAGATGATTCTTGTTTTAAAAGACTTGGTTAATATTACAAACAAATTCATTTATCGAAATGTTGTTATCTGGCAGTTTTTCATCTGTTTATTTAGTGATTCGAAATACCCGGAAGTGACTCGCAATACACTAAAAGATGGTCTAAATATAGCCGCCGTCAAGGTCGCTATATCGAAGATGAGCTCGCTTTGTGTCGAAGATCTTTTTATTCATAGAACCAACTTTCTATTAATACCAAACAACCAGTTATAAACTTGTAAATTACATCGTTTGCAGCAAAAATGTTAAAGGTGATTCGGAATACCCTAAATGACTGTATATTTTAACTTTTACATTTCCTTCTACTAAATAAAAGTTAATTGCTGGAAAAATCACATTTCCTATCCCCAAACGGATATGTTCGGTAATTTAAGCCACCTTGAGCTTAATGATTTTGAATTGCTTGACCTGTAAATGTATAGACAGAGAAAAATAAATTCTAAAAAATGATATCATTTAAGAAAATGAGAGAAATTTTTTTTTTAATTTAAAAGGCCAGCCTACTGTAGAATGATTCAATAGCTTACATAATTTTTTAACAAAAAGACATTTTTTTAAGTAGGTGAACGATATACCCTTGCAAAATTTTACTTAAGTTACCTATAATTTACTACAGTAACTACTTGTCTCAATATTGCTGCCACAATTTAATGAAAAAAAATTATACAGATTATGTATAATAAAAATATCATATATTTTATCATTGTTGATTGTCGCCGCGTGGCGCAGTGGTTAGAGCGTCTGCTCTAGAGTCGCGGAGTAAGGAGTTGATCCTTACGTTGCGGGTTCGAATCCCACTGTGGGACGTGGAGACCGGTCCTTTTTTATGAGACCGTATAAACCGAGGTCCCGTGTCGCAGTAGGTGCTGGCACGAAAAAGATCCCTCACTGCTCAATGGACGTAAGTGCCGAGTATAGGACAAAATTTGCAGCTCTCCACCGGCAAGTGGTGGCGTCTCCATATGAGTGAAAAATTCTCGAGAGGGACGTTAAACAACAAACAAACAAACAAACAAAAACATTGTTGATTTGATTAACTTCGAAAATACATGATGCGTTTATTGTCCTTTCAGTATATAAAATTATGTATTTAAATTAATTTTTTTTCTTCCATTAAATTGTGGCAGCAATTTTGAGAACATTCTACAGTAGGCTGGAATATATTGGCCTCTTAAATTTAAAAAAAAGGTAATTTCTCTCATTTTCTTAAATGATATCATTTTTAAAATTTATTTTTCTCTGTCTATACATTTACAGGTCAAACAATTCAAAATCATTAAGCTTAAGGTGGCTTAAATTACCAAACATATCCGTTCTGAACCCCCCTTCTTAGTATCTGTTTAATGCTATATTAATTTAAGAATTGAAATGACTCCTGAAAATAAATAGAAAAATGCAAACATTAACAAACAGTCTTATTATTTTCTTATGCTATATTCAAATTCGAATTAATGATGTTATAACTGATGATCGGATATTTGAGGAGTGAACAAGAAGCGTTCAAGATAGAATTAAACAGATATTAAAAAGAGGGTTTCAGAGGCAAGTACCGAGAATATTGCATGTGATTGAATGGAATTAAAGTTTAGTTATCAGATATGCTGATGTAATTTTGACAATTATATTTCTTAATGGAGACAATCAGTGGTTCACTAATCCCGGTGGGCTTCTTAGCCTGATATGCTTAGACGTCTATACAATGGTTGATTATAGTTTTTGTTTGATCAGTGGGTTTGATAATTTATCAAAGTAATAAAAACTGGATTTATCGAGAAATGATTTTAATGCTTCTTAAACATGCCCTCAAAAACGATGTGGCAACGAAGAATTCCCGGGACACTAATAGCCACCTTGGAAGGGCATTTTAAGGGACGGTCTGGGCCTATCATTTCCGTTTCTGTCTGTCCTATTTATGGCTAGTAATTAACCAGACAATAAAGAACCGTCTTATGATGCTACTTACTGTACATGTGCAGTGATCTTTCGAACACTTTCCTGATTTATGTTTTTTTTTCAAATAGCATTATAGCATTGGTATATCTGCTTTCTAAAGCTGTTTGCTTTTATCTGAAGTCGAAAGCTTGTAAGTGGAAAATGAAGAGAAATCAGAAATTTCTTTACTATAAGTAAATGGATGCTTACCAAACATTGAAGATACAACTGCATTTTGAGAATTTTCCAAGTTTGACACTGACTTAGATATTTTTGCGCCAGAAGCAAGTAAATCATTCCTCAAATTTTCCAGAGATGTATTCAATTTTATTGACAGAATATCATACTTTTTATCTATCAATGCAGGGATACTCTTATCTATTTCCAACGTGTGTTTATTCAGGTCAAGAAGAGTAACTGACAGATATCGAACCTCAACTTTTAAGTCTCCCAGTATGGTACTGGTGTTTTTCTCAAAAGCTTCTCTCTTAAATTCTGATTGTTCTGCAAATTCAAAAATGTGTTCAGTCATTTGAGTGAAGTTTTCTTTTACGGCGTTGAATGTTTCTTCATACCTTCTGTGTTCAAGCTTAAGCCTCTCGTTTTCACGTTTTAGTTCGTTCACTTCCTGTTGCAATGATGTTATCTCCAAGTCTGTTTTCTGCTGTGAAGTTTCCAGTGACTCCATACTTTGTTTCAAGTCGACCATATCTTTCAATAGTGCGTGTACATTTTTTACCAGTGCCATTCTAATAATTGTTTCTTGATTCAGAAGTTGTCTGACAACGTCCACATTTTTCGAATCAATGTCTATTGTATCCAGCTGAGTGATATTTTGACCACTGTTATCTGTGAGTATAGATAGACTGTAAATGTGACAAAAATTCAGAAGGCTTGACGCAAAACCAAGGGTGAGCTTCATCTTCAAGGAGATGAACGTCTTGACGTTAAACGCGAAGTAATGATTTCCTTTGCTCTGGTTTCAATTTTGTATTCTAAGAAAAAATTGAATTAAACACTTTACTTCATCATTGCAGAAAAAGCCTTGAAGATGAAGTTGCTGGTGTGATGCATATTACCTTTTTCATTATAATGGGGGAAACCGTCATTTTGTCATCATTAACTCGGTGAGATAATATTCTTTATATACATGTATATACGTCAAACATAATTAAATAGTATGTAACATATTTCCAGGAACTATTTTCCATCGAAGAAGCTGTCAGACTGTATGACCCATCATAATAAAGATATATGTTATGCATTAAGTAAGGATCATTCATGCTGATAAAAAGGCTGCTAGCGCCTGATAAAATTAAAATTGTTGTGTGCATACTTTAAACCAATATCGACACTCAATAAACTACATTGATTTAAATGATTCAAGTTTCTGTTCAACAGGGGTCTTTTCTCTTTAGAATTAATGTTTCCGTTAATTATACAATGTCCCGAACATAAAGCTATAATCAAACAGCCACTCCATTATTTCATATAGAATATTTTGTTCTTTAACATAGAATAAACACTGTACAGACTAAACGAAGTCAGGCTTAAAGCAATTTGAGTTTTTTAAGATGGTACAAGTAGGTTCTGATACATGTCAGCGAACCATTAATCAAGAATCTTGATATTTTTCAGATGTGATTTATTAATGGTTTACAATTAAATGGAGATTACTGGTATTTTCATCGTCAGAATGTGCTGACAAAATTTAAAATCTTTTGAGCGTTTGGACCTGCGAAATATAAACCAGTGATATTTACTTCTCAATCAAATACACCGACTGTTGATAATTGCCTTTCATGCCAAATATATTTTTGGGGAAAAAAGAAAGAAAAGAAAATTCAATCCGAAAAATCTTATTTCAAGCAATTCAAAGTTGTAGAAGTCAAGAAGCATTTATCGAGTCGCACAAAGTTTGAATCAATAAAAGAGGACCATTTTAGCTTAAAAGAACTGATCGGAGGTTTCAGACCCAGTACTGTTTAACATTTTAAAGCTCTAGAGTACAAGAAAGATTTATGGAGAAATATGATACAATTATGACACAATGAAAGAAATATCTTTAAAATCTTTTCTACTTGACCAAATCAAATTGATGTTTGAAATATGTACAATATATAAATCATTATAATTGAAGGGGATGCAAACCTAACCTGAATTCTTACCCAAAGGTTTGGATAGTATTTTGTACTTTTAATTTTTAAGTTTTTCCTATAATTTCTTTCAGTAAAATGTTCAATCCCCTTCTTAGAGTGCATTTCGGCTGTCAATATTCAAATAATAAAAAACACGCTCCAAGTAAAAAATTGAAATTAACAATGACAAGGTTTGCTGATCAGTTTGCTTCACATGTTAAACAAGCATTCTGAGAGTATTGCATTAGCAATACTAGTCCCCTACCGGCAAGTGTAATCTGGTTCCCGTTAAGAATTGAAAATGCCATAATTCCGTCAAAAATCAATGAAGCGAGACGAAATGCAAACTTGATCTATAACTAATCAAGGTAAAGTCACATACCAAAAATCAGCTCAATATCTGAAAGCGTTTAGAAGAAAATTGCGGAAAACCCCTAAAAATTAAAAAGGCCGTAATTCCGTCAAAAATCAATGAAGCGAAACGAAATGCAAACTTGATCTGTAACTCATCAAGATACACTCACATACCAAAAATCAGACAGACAGACGGACATACATACAGCTTGACAGACAGACTGACAAACGGACAAACAGACTCAGAGGAAACCTATATTCCCCTCCAGTTTCACCGGTAGGGGACTAAAAAAAGGAGAAGCCATCAAACACCCCAATAAGCGTACAAAATATCAAATTATTTCACTCTTTATACAATAAACATCAAATAAAAATTCGTTATAAATTAGGATCAGCGATATGTTGTAGGATATCATGACTCTTATGGAATGTGTTAACATTCTAACTGAATGAGCCATCTGAAAGTTTAAAAGCTTTAATATGAATAAATGCGTAAGCTTACTTAATATCTTATGTGTATTGACAAAATTCTTTATTTGAGACTGAAGAATTCTCTGTACATTAATTTACATTTTTATTGAATCTTAATTTGAATATTTCTTTCCTTCTAAACCCTTTCAATATAATAATAATTTCTAATTTTACATTCTACTTTTGTTGACCATTTGCAAAATTCTAGTTCTGTTTTGTTGTTTTTGATAATTTATGCAATTATTTGACTTTTGATCTCTTTAATCATGCAATTTGACTTGTTGCATGTTCTTCTTAACCCAGTCTGTTAAATGTAGGCAAACTGAGTGGCATTATCTGATTAAGTCAAATTTTAAACAATGCTAACAAATTAATATAATTGAAGAAAAGATTATAACTCTACTTCATGGTGTTTGGCTATGTATCAATTACTTGTCCGAAAGGAATTCAAAAGGGCGTCGATCTACGTAAAAATCTTAAATAATAAAAAAAAAAAATGAAACTTACTTCATGTAAGGTTTCTTAGATATAGGTTTAATTTCCTTTAGACTAAATTGACTAAATTGAGAGTGACAATGGAGATCCTTGAGATACTATTGCATACTTTTGTGATATTTTTGAAGATTTAACTTTCAAACAAAAACATTCATTGCAGCACATACTCCCTAAAAATATTATACTGGAAGTTTATAGACCTGATCATGACTATGACACTTATATATATATATATATATATATATTATTTTAAAGATGCACATGTGATATTGCTTCAAAAGTAGGAAATGAAAAAAAAATCATAACACACTCTCTATAATATGTGGTTTCTGGGGGGAAGGGAGAAGGTAGAGCAAGCTTCGAGATTGGAAGATAGTGAGTTCAAACCCGGCCGCAAATAACCCAAGACGATAAAAAATAGGTAGCAACTGTTCCTTCGAATTGAAAGTTGCCGGTCTCTCGGGTTAGACCGTAAAAACCAAGATCCCATGTCACGACAGGCGTTGGCACGATAAAGATCAATGGCTCAATGGCCCTGAGTGCCGAGTAAAGTTAAACAACAATTAATCAATCAATCAATTAATCAATCGTGATCGGGTGTTTTTGGGTTCGATTCTAGTCCCCTGCACCGCGGTAAACCTAAGGCGAAAAAAATAGGTATTTTAGCCTCAGAATATTATATTGTACATAAATGATGGTAATTTGAATGATATCATAACATAATATACCATAATATATGGTACATGTTAGATTATGTGATGTGAAATGATGTGAAAAATATAAGTTACAAATGAAAAAGTCATTTTGATTTTTCGTAGATTCTATGAAATAGAAAATATGTAATAATTCATTGATAGTGGGATTTATTTTATGAATAGGTTGAACCAGATTGTTTTGTGTTACACTATACATGCACTCGTGAAATGCGTGAGTAAAGACCAAACCATAATTATCTTTATTTTGACGTTTCATAGTCATCAACAAATATCTCTATTTGAATATAAAAAATTGATATAAAGTCAAAAAAAGTTATTTCAATTATTGAATATTTTGATATTTTTAAGATATAATTATATATGAATGATATATGTATGGATGTGTTACATATATGCACTTGTACTGAATAAAAAATTGATATAAAGTCAAAAAAAAAGTTATTTTGATTATTGAATATTTTGACATTTTTAAGATATAATTATATATGAATTATATATATATGGATATGTTACATGTATGTACTTGTACTGAATAATTTTATTACTTTTAGTACAGGGTCTCCATAATTATTAGCCCGTGGATGTTTACGAGTTGTGACCCTAATAGATATTTGAGTACTGGCATCTTGTGTTAGAATGGTGTACAAAATAGGATTGCATAATCATGGCCAGCAGTCCTCCTCTTCAAGATGTTATATGTAGACTATATGTAAATACACAGCATAGTTCACTGTTAGTATAACTCCACTTCTATAAAAGATATAGAAGTGACATAACATACTACAATAATAGTATACAAGTTGTTTACAAATGACACAAGAGATTCGGGACAGTTTTACCTCAACACTGGAAATAGGTTTAGGCCCAAGAAGCAGAGTAATGATATGGATCACGATCAATGTAAAACTCTGTGTATTCTTCACCTCTAAAGGAGACCTAACAAGGACTGAAATTTGATTAAGAAATTAGAAAGGCAGTGGTAAATTTTATTGCGTTCCGGAGTTAAGAATGGTTTCCCAGATTAGTGTATTTGAAAATCAATGAGATGCCATGAGACGACTGTTGTATATAAAGACCAGTATTTTGAAAGAGAATGGTTATGCTGTTAGAAGAGACGTAAATTATGTTTGCTTTCGTGCTCCGACGCATACTTAGTCTTCTTTATTTTTACAATTTTTTTTTTAATTAAATGTGTTATTCTTATAAGACTTGAAGCTCATGATCATTAAATGTTGCCTTTTACTATGATAAGAAAAGAAAGATAGGTACGCAAAGAGAAACTAAATTGTTTTACTTGTCTACGACTTACTGGGATAACTGGGAGAACATTTTAATTGATCAAATTCATCTTTACTTTTAAAAAAATCAAACTTAACTTAAAAGAACAGCCGGAAATGGTGTCAACCTCCTCTAAATATGACATCATAATGGAATATGACGTACCTGCACTGCAGACTTGACCTAGTGCAAGAAAATATGCAGAAAATACCAAAAAAGTGGGATGATAACGTGAAAACAAAATGGAAAAAATACATAAATGTATTCATTATATGCATTCATACCTTATCTTGAATTTGTAATTTGGTTCTCGTCTGTTTTATTAAAGCATTTAAGATTTATTTATTAATATACTCTGCTGCATTTAAAGTAATTTAGAAGTCAGCTTTGTTCCACAAATAGGTACAAATTTATATATTTTGAAATATAGGTTTACTATTTTATTTTGAGAATTGTAAATATGAAATTTAATAATAATTTCTATTTATTATAATGTCAACATAAATAAACTATTGTCTATATGCATGTTTATTATCAGTTATACCTGTATTTCATTGTATTTTATAAAAACTTTGTATCAAGGAGAATAACTCTTGAATTCCCCAGACGCAATGTAATGTTTTATGATTTGTTATAATGTGAAATTACTATTGTTGTTTGTGAATGAAATATGTATTATATTTTCAGTGCATGATTTGAAGATGCTTTTATGATTGACGAAATAGATAAAGAACCATAATTGAATCCGCAGGTGTTTGCTCTATCAATAACCCCTGTCAAATTTTCATAGTTAATAAAAATACAAATCAAATGTAAATATTGAAAGTTAATGGTTTAAATAAGGAATTGAATAAGGTTTACATAAGGAATCCAGAAAACGTGGTTGCAGGAGTGTCACTTGTAGTCCAATAACCGATACCATAGTTAAATCTTACCCATACCGCGTCCCCTTTCTGCAGTTGTAACGTTACCAGGTTTGTACCTGTATCGTATTGTTCATGAGGCCAATTAGGAAAAGCTATTGACCTAACTTTGCTAGATCCGTTTAGCACAATGTCTACATATATTGCGTTGTTCTTGTAACTTTGGATAGTGACGTAGAACACATAATTTCCTTCTACTGGTGCTGTGAAGATTCCGGTGTTCGGGTTATACCCTCCTCCCACGTTGTTGATTACTTTATCGTACACTAAAGTCCCACTGTTCCATGAGGTGCTAGTAGACGACACTCCAACAGTAAAAGCTACTCTCTGAGACAAGTCTACAAAATAAAAATAGTGTAGATCTGAAGAACAGTACAAACATACAAAATAGTAGGATTGACAATAATCTATTTTTGAATTTAGAAATTTAGAAAAAATGGAAATCTATTTTACTTTACTTCAGTTCATTCTGAACTTCATAGGAATTCCCCTTAGAAAATTGTTTAAGACATTTACTTCTGGTAATATTCATTTGGAACGCTTCCAGATACGAAACAGTAGTGGACAACTTCAGTTGGTCGTACTGAGATTGTTTGACCTTAGTCCTTATGTCCCCCATAGTTTTGTTGATATCATCTGAAGGAATATTGCATAAATAAATACAAAAAAATAGACATACGTTATAGTCATATTACTTAAGGAGGATAAATACACATGGTCACAAGACTGCATTGACTAAAAGATAGTTTCTGTTAATTTAGATGGAAAACATTATTTCAAGTTTTATTATATAAACAGGTTAAAGTCAGTGAATGCTGAAGTTTTCTGTGAAATAAGGAACACAGGAAGAGTTTATAAGTGATCCGTAGCAGATTCTGTGCATTTATATCTTATTAAGCTTTCCAAGTTTCCTGTAACGTCAAAGTTGTTTTTCACGTATTCGTAAATCATGTAGTGTATTTATAACAATCATTTCTTGTTTACCTACGTCCTGTACAATATTTAATTAAGCTTTACTTTTCGATATTTCTGCAGCTAATCAATAAAATGAAAAACTGTATTCCTTCGTAATATATATATATATATATATATATATATATATATATATATATATATATATATATATATATATATATATATATATATATATATATATATATATATATATATATAATTTAATTTTGTTTGTATTCTAGCCCCTGATTTGTTAATATCCAAAAAGGAACACAAATTATTTCTGTATAACCTGGTTTGGTATGGGGACATCCCCCCCCCCCCCCCCGACAACCAGCTGAATCATCTGTATCCATGCCAGTCCTCGGGATTCATGGAAAATTCCAGATTTAATAAATGTACCTTTAACTTCAAACAATAATTCGATCTTACCACATGTAAACAAACAACAAGGCTGCTAGGCCTATGTATCAGTTTCTACCTCCCCTCGCTTCCCAACACTTCCGTTACTTCCGTTACTACGGTTGTATTATTGAGCGGCAAATTTGAACTAATAAAAAGCAACGGAATTTTGCTTCCATAGTTATTTAATGATTTAAAAATCAAATTATAAGGAATGACTCTAATTCTTGGCCGAATTACAAGAGTATAACTTGGTCTGGGTCAGTTTACGCTATTTTATAATCCGCTTCGCGGATTATAAAGCGTAAACTGACCTATATTATATGACCCATATTATATCTTAAAATGATAATTAAAACTAAAGGTAATAAACTGTTGTTCCTCTTACATTTCAAACGTGTGGGGCAGAATTAAATCAAAGAGACTTTTTTGTTCAATATATTCCATAGCACTAAAAATTGGGGGTCTTTTCAATTGAAATATAATTTTTTTGCAAAAATGCATGTGTTTTATATCATGTTTTATGAGTTCGTTAACTTTTTACTTTGTTTTGCACATGATGAATGGAGAATTTAAAATCGATAACATAACGAGATTTTGACGGGTGTTCTTTCCGTCATCTTGTCACTAAATAATAAAGCCATTATTCTATTTACAAGTTTAGTAATATTTACAACGTGGAACAATAATCCGCACTATAATTATGTAAGTATGCACTAACTCGTTTCCTTTCATTAATTCCCTAATACATGATATTTTTTCATTCCAAAGACCCTAATATTATTACAGTTATAACTGTCGTCTTCCGATCCTCCGTCGCATTCAAATGAAGTGGGAAAAAATGTGTACTCTCTCCTCTCTCCCATTCCGATTTCCTTTTTAATAATAAATGTTTTTCCTTTATATATACAGGTTGGCACTAATGGGTTTCCGTAAGAGAGAGAGAGAGAGAGAGAGAGAGAGAGAGAGAGAGAGAGAGAGAGAGAGTCATAATTCCATCAAAAATCAATGAAGCGGAACGAAATGCAAACTTGATCTATAACTCGTCAAAGTAATGTTACATACCAAAAATCAGATCAATATCTACAAGCGTTTAGGAAAAAATTGCGGAAAACCCTGAAAATTTGAAAAGGTCGTAATTCCGTCAAAAATCATTGATGCGGAACGAAATGCAAACTTGATCTGTAAGTCATCAAGATTCAATCACATACTAAAAATCAGCTCAATATCTGCAAACGTTTAGAAAAAAAGTGCGGAAAACCAAGTAGAACAGACTGACAGACAGGCAGAGGGACAGCTAGTCGGACAGACAGACAGACAGACGGACGGACAGACTCAGAGGAAACCTCTAGTCCCCTCCGGTTTCACCGGTAGGGGACTAAAAATATGTAATCATAATAAAGAAAATCATTTACTCTCAGGTCTGTATTTATACTGAAAGGAAAAAGAAACGCAGGTTAACATGATATTCGATAATCATTTTAATACTGGACCAAACATTATTAAAATTTGCATGGGAGGTATTTGGTTACTTTTCACTCAAATTGGTGTTCAAAATTACTCAACCATAAAATTATGACGTCACTTAGGGAAACTGGTAAGAAACCAATAGCAGATTGAAAGCAGGTTTGTCAACATGTTTTAATGTTATAAGTTGATACTCTAGAAGTATACACATCGTTTTTTGTTATTTAAACTTAATTTGAATTTCTTGCAAGAATGGTATAGCTGACGGAAGTTCAAGGTTGTCTGTCAATTGTATTGCCTGAGAACGAACAAAGGGAACAATAGGTTGTTTGTTGTGGATTTTCTACCATTATAAGACGTCATATCTGTTCCCAGCGATAGAGTGGAAGGGATTTCGTTCAACCATGACAGGAACGTCAGTGTCTAACGATACCTTGTCAAGACGGGACTGTCCATCCTAATACCTGCGTACTCGCGACGACACTACCACCAAAACCGCTTTTAAGACAGTAAGCAACTTAACTTCCACTCCAAAACTGGAAGAAACCGATTGTGCGAGTTTGGTCCGCGAGTTTGTCAAAATTACGGAAGTGTTCGTCTCAAACGTGCACGTGAGCGCTGCCTGCCTATTTTTTCTGCATGTTAACCCCCACCAAATGTAGCCAGGGTATTTCAAGATTTTCTAGCAAAAAGTCACATTAACCTACTCAACTGTATGCGTACAATCCACCTTTGTCTCCAATTGAAAATTTGTGGGACTGACTGGACTATAGAGTAAGAAGGCATATGAATATCCCAGCCCCTCTAAGGGCTACCTTATTGGAAAGATTGAATAATATCCCAATGAGAAAGATAAATGAACCGAAGACCTCCTTGCACAGGAGTATTAAGAATCTGACCGATGCGTAAAAGAACAATATCTTAAAGAATCAAAAGAATAATGACTACATTTTCGATTTCACTTCTGTGGGGGGTACTGTTAAATGTGTTTCAATTTCTTTTGAATTGTTCGTCAAAAACCAAATGTGATTTTCTAAATTTGTTGATTAAAGATATACCTAATAGATATAACATTACCGGAAAAAAACATTAAAAGTGCTTAGACACAGATTTGAACTTAATATTTTCTCAAAGGATGACTGTACTTAACTCCGGGTTTTGGGTCTTTTTCGGTCGCTTCTGTTGCTTTCATATCAAAATCTTATTTCATTTTTTATATTTATTAAAGAATCCTGTCAATTTCGAGCCGAATTTAAATATTACAATGATCTTAGACTGTTATACAATAAAATGATTCTATGTTTTCTGTCCTTACTCTTTCCAAGTGTAGAGAATTTAATACACTTACCTGCCCTTGATTAAACATTAGGTATACATGAGAGGTGGAGCTAACATTGTAGGAATGGCTCTAAAATTAGACTAGATAAATAACAATGACATGTATTAGAAAAATACGAGATCATTCTTTCCCATTCCCTCTTAATTCTGCATGGCACAAGTACACTATTTTCAGAGGTTTCAAAAACGAAATTAACAAAATGAGCGACGTCCATGTGAGTAAAGAATCATTTAAATCAATGCCAAACAATTTAACGTGTTCGAGCACTTTGTCCTAGTTAGCACAAAACATGCTACTTTACAAGTTACGTGACGAAATTTAATATTCACAGAGTTACCTGAGGTAAGAAATCACGTGGTGAATTATAATATTCAACATGTCACAGCCCTTGGTTACAATAGAGAGAGCGAATGTAAGAAGAAGCAGTTTTTTCTCGTTTAAACCATGAGCGCATGTTTGTCTATTAATCTCCCTTTGACACAACGTTGTTAATGCAAATATACAACTACTGTTAAACGGAGAACAATAGACAAACATGCGCTGACTATGTATAAAGTCAGTGAAAAGGTGGGCGTCCTCATTATCGTACGGAGATTCAAGGAATTGTGATGACCCTTGCCTTAGAAAACATCTTCGTACTTCGTAAATACGTACTTTTATTTAATATAATTACATGAAGTTGTAGATTAGATGTTTACCATTTGTGCAATTAAAATAAAAATGCTTGTTTCGAAAGTTTATTTTTTCGCAATTTTCGCATGTCCTTAAGTGCAGTCATCCTTTTCTGTATGATATCACGACTTATATATTGCAATAGCATTTCACACAAAAGTATAATTAAAAACCTATTTCATCTGGAAATTATTGGAACAACGAATTCCGGGACGCTTTTGATTAACACATCTTTGCACTTACACAAATTTTAACTTTATCCTTAATATTTAAGAAAAGAAGCCATTTTGTTATGTATTAATAACATCTATTATCAAGACAATTCAGAGTAGAAATGTTCGAAAGCAAGACCAGCTCACCAGTATTGTCAGTCCGTGCTCTTTGATGTGTACAGAGTTTAACAAATTGAACACACCCGTGAATCGTAAACTGTTTTTCAAACAGGGCACGAGCTCTGTTATTGTTAATGTTTACGACTCACCGGGTGTGTTCAATTGTTAAACTCTGCACACACCACTGAGCACGGACTTAACAATACTGTGAGTGGGTTTTGCTTTCGAACATTTCTACTCTGAATTTTCTGGGTTATAATTTTAATATTTTTCATTAATACACAACAAAATTGCCACTTTTCTTAAGTATTAAGATTAAAATTAAAATATGTGAAAGCGCAAGGATGTGTCAATCCAACGCGTCCAGAAATTCGAAGTTTTGATAACTTCGAGATGAACTAAGATTTTTATTATATTTTAGTATGAAATGCTACAGCAAAATACAAGTCATGAAATTATACAGAAAATTTGTGAAAATATTAATGTCATATCTGTGTCCAAGCACCTTTAAAAATGGTATCATTAGATAAAAAGTTTACCCTGCCTTTCTTTTTTCTTTTCAGTATACATGTAGTAGGAGAAGCAAACTTGCTATAGGTAAGAGACATTATTACAAAGATCAAAACGTTAAGGTGTATATAAACTGTATCGAATAATGCTGTTTTCTGCTTGAGAAATATAGTATAAGTAGGTGTGGGTTCTTTGAGTGCCATATGGTCTCTATAAACTTTAAGGAAATACAGCTGTAGTTTGCCTTTCTAAATTATACGATCGCAAGCGACGTTACAAGATTCCAAGGACATATACCTTCACTCGTACATAACGTCACTGGCATTCATAATGGTTCAGAATAATGTGGAAATATATGCAGAATCTCATGGCATATATAGAAATCGATCCATTTAATTTTATAAAACAGCAATGATATAAATTGTCGACGGTGACATAATGTGTTGAAGGGCGATGATATGTGGCGGAAAAGTCAGATTTATTATCGCTGTAAATACATGCAGTGCGAGAATATACACTGTATGCTGCATGAAAAGAACCCTTTATAAATAATTCCTTCATTGTATGCTTGATAATACCCCCAAACACCTTTGTCTGTGTATTTCATATGCCTAATACAATTATGTCGCAGATATTTGAGTAATTGGTCGTACATTGCTCGCGCGTGTGTATGTTTGTTATGTGTGATTTGAATGAAATTGACACCAGCATAAAAAATGGGGATATTCCCTCTCAAAATTCACAAAACAACTAACTGCATCTGAAAAATTGAAATAAAAACAAAGTAGTGTTTCTTCTGTATCGTACATTTGTTTAGCAAATGCATATTTGTACAATTAAATGATGTGTAATAAATAGCTTCAGTATCAAAATTGTAAATAAATACATAGTAAAAAATTAAGCTTTAAAAAATAAACCAAGAAACATTTCAGAAACTCATTTTCAATTTAAAAATAAACATATTAGATTAAATAATGAATGCCCTTTTTTCATTTTTTGGATGTATGTGCAAGAATATCGCATATAAAGGTGTTTATAAATGAATAAATACGAAAACCCAAGAGAAACACTCACTGAGAATAAAATGTTCCAACTATCGATTACATTTTTCTGAGCCTTAAATATCTGCATTTTTGTAAAAAAAAAAAAAAAAAATAAGTGAAGTTTGAACTTTTGAAGCAATCTGCATCTATATTTCAAAAGTGTCAGTAAAGTGAGGCTTACCGAACATTGAAGATATAGCCGCATTCTGAGAATTTTCAATGTTTAACAATGACTTTGATAGATTTGCGTTAGAATAACGTAAATCATTGTTCATAATTTCCAGTGAAGTATTCAATTTAGTTGACAAAATTTCAGAATTCTCTTCTATCAATACCGGGAACATCCTTTCCATTTCTAGAGTATGTTTATTTAAACCAAAAAGAGCATCTTTCAAGCTTTCAAGTCTTGCACTGATGTTTTTCTCAAAAGTTTCTCTATCAACTTCAAATTGTTTTGTAAACCCAAGTATGTGTTCACTCGTTTCAGTAAAGTTTTCTTCGAGTTTGTTGAAGGTCACTTCAAACTCTCTTTTTTCAAGCTGAAGTCTCTCGTTTTCAAGTTTTAGTTTGTTCATCTCTAATTCAGTTTTTTCTTGTGACGTTTCCAGTGCCTTCATATTTTGTTTGAGATCGACTATGTCCTCCATCAGTGTGTATACGTTTTTCACCAATGCTATTCTTATTATCGTTTCTTGGTTTATAAGTTGCCTCAATCCGTCCACACTTTTTAAATCGATGTCATTTGTGCCAAATTGATTAATATTTTGACCACCGTTGCCTGTGAGTATAGAAAGACTGTGGACACGAAGAAAATTCAGGAAACAAAACCCAAAACTAAGAACGTGCTTCATCCTGAATACTGTGGCATGAAATGGCGTTTGACTGTAAGATTACGAGTTCCTTTAATTAAGTTGCAGAAGATTGAATGTGATAATTATCTATGTGAGATTGTTGTGGTATGTATGAAGTCAATAGTTTTTACATAATAGTGCACACCTTCATTTTGTCTCCATTAACGTAATGAGACCCTTTTCCAAACACAATCTTATCTCGTTATATACCATCGAAACGTATTTCAGAAGCGTCTTTTTGAATTGCAGAACAATTATTTTCAGGATATACCAACAATCTCCAAGAGAGCTATTTATCTTAAAATATTTGTAAGAATTATTTTCGCTCGTTATGTTGTTTACACTTGAAGAAAAACTCCTTTACTTGTACCGCAAATGTAGAAGATCAACATTCAATCAAGTGCTTTCATTTTAATTTTCCCATCACGTCTCCTGACGGCTTTCTTTAATGATTTAATGTCTACATTTTCAAGCCCTTGAAATAGAGCAGTAATGGAGCAATAAACTCCTGTATTATAAGTGGGAACAATGATTAAGTATAACGTTAATGCTGTAATGAATGTGCTTAGGACTAATGACCTCTGCTCTAAATTTTATATTATTTAAAGCTTTCCAAATTTGATTTTCATCAAGAACTTTAGCATTTAATTCAAATGAAAAATAGTATGAGGTATGAAGTGGTGTTTATTTTTTTAAAATGATTTTTACATCAGACCATGATATGAAAAATTTTTTTACACAGAGAAATAGATAAAATTAAAATTATGAGGTGTATATGAAAATAATATTTAGTGTCATACCTATTAAATTCATATTAGAGAAACATAATAAAGCGCTGCTGCCTAAGTCAAAACAACACTATGTTATATGTGCTTGTAAGGAAAGTATACATCCATTAGCAAGAGTTATCTTTCTTAAAAATATTTGTAAATGGTAAAAAATGTAAAACTAATAATAATTCTGCATATGGTATATGAAACATTAAATCATTTTTAAAAGAAGGTAGAATTTATTTTATTTGCAAAGGTTTTAAAGCTGGATGTGAATGTTTTTATTTAATTAAAAATATACCTAGGCAAAAAGAGAGTCAATTTCCTTAATATATTGAATTTGATTGAATTTATCACTCATTAACCTCTTGAAAGATGAACTGTGAGTAATATCAAGATTTTTTTACTCAGAAAGTTATCTCTCATAGAATCGGTCACCCTTAAGTTTAAAGCATGTGGAGTACTCAGTCAGTGAAAAAGTACATCATATCATACAAAGGTATTGAGTTTTCTTGAATTCGATTTCAATTGCTTAACTGCCTACCCAACTTTTAAATATTTGCATACTACATTTGTAGGTTTCTTTGAAACATTTTCTGGTTGATAGAATTTCAAGTAAAAAAGCAGATATTTTGAAAATTTTGTGTATTTTACGTTTGAAGGCCTATAAACGTACAAATCCATGTGACTTTGAAATTCACATTATAGTTTTTTTTTTCATTATTTTAATGAGACTGAGATTTTAAACAACGTTTTTGAAATTATGCCCAGAGATTAACCAACTGAAAATCTAGACTCTTTCTTAAGTATTGGTGTGAAAGTTATTTAATATAAAATAAAACAGTGCAAACAAAACATATCAGCTTACCCTTGACTGCCGAATATATTGATCTGAATCTGGCATAAGTTTTCGAAGAGAGTTGTTATCATTGATAAAAATGCAAAGAAATCAAAGTACAGATGCAGGAAAAAAAGGTATAGCAAAGAAAGAACTTTCTTCACATATCTAGCATATTCGCTCGTTATATATGGTAGGCTTTATAAGAGACAATTAGATGAATTCAGGTTCCTTAAAATACTCTTAAAATTTGGGTTTAATTGTGATTATGCTTTCAACACCACAGTAAACTTTTTGGTGCTGTAAACATTTTGCAAGCTTATCATCAGCACAAGTTAAAATGTTCACAAGTACTAAATACAACTGCGAGTCAATGACTTGAACATCAGTATATCGAATACAGGATTCATAAATCGATGTTCTTGACTACTTTGCAAAATCAAGTTTAGACTTCAACATGTACATCCTTCGATTTTTTCAAAGTATGTCGTTATGGTATGTACATTTCATGTATAGTAATGTTGAAGTACGATTCAGGTAAAAAAGATTTATTTTGAAATGGGGGTAAGGAGTCTTAATTATAGTAATTGTATTTACGTTCAAATGTTATTACTTAGTATTGAGTCGCCCGCGTGGTGCAGTGGTTAAAGCTTCTGCTCTAGAGTCGCTATACAGCCAACTTATGTTATTTTCTCATGAAATTTATTTCACGTGTTTTTTCTTCAACCATTCTAAAGTCATTAGATTTGCAGCAAAAGAGAAAAACAGTTCCTGTGTTACCTTTGTATAGAAGTTACTAACTACATAGGTCATTTCAGTTTTCAAGATTAATTGTGTGAACGTTTAACAGTTTGTAGGTTGTCATTTAACAGGACATCATATGTTTCTGAATATTTGAAAAGCAATTTTTGAATTCAGAAACATGTCTATGTATCAAAATGTTCAAAACCTGTGTTTCAAACGCGTTGCTATTGCAATTATATGAAAAAAATATATTTATGATAGTCAGTCTCCTTGGGTATACCCTTGTATGTAAATTCCCCCAAAAATTCTACTGATTTATAAGCAACAATCCTTTTTTTACAATTCTGGCTACCACACAATCTTTAACTGGATGCATGAAGCTACCACATAGGGTTCAATATTGTTTTTTTTTTTTTTAATATTTAACACTTAATTGCATATGCTTAGATATCCAGATCGTTAGCCTTTATTACCAAGCAAAACTCATGCTGTCATCAATAGATACAGTGGAATTAACTGATTGTAAAACATTCATCGTATGAATATTATGAATATTCTTGTATATCTTTGGTACATAAGAAATATTTACTGTAGTAATTGATTTACTAGATTTTAGTTTTTATTATTATTGTTATTTTTGCAAATGCAGAAGAAAATTCATAGTGGTAGCATGAAGAGTAAAATTTGTCTTATAAGTTATAACAAATAAAATATTAGAATAAAATAAACGTAGTTGTTCTTTTAGGACCTGTTAACTGGTACAAATCTATTGCCTGTTATCTATTAGCTAATCGGAAAAAGACGTCTGAGTTTTTGAAATGTTAATGATTGGTTTTGTTAACTGGATTAATAAGGTTGATCACAGTTCGTTACCTTTACCTTTTACATTTAAGGAAAAAACAATAATATCATTTTTAATGCAAAGCAGATAAACAGTGGCCTTTTCACAAAACATCTTACGACTAAGATTGAAATTTTCCAATTCTTATATATATATGTACCTCAATTGTAGTACAATAAAAAAAATATTTCTATTACATTACAGTATATTGTGAATTATTCTTCTAAGTAATATTTTTCATTAAACAAAGAAATTACAGAGATGTCAAATTTTAATCTTAGTAGTAAGATTTTTTTTTGTAAAAAAGGCTAAAGTACTTAAATAATAATTGATAATTCCTCTTAATATGCATTTTTGATATCCGATATTTTATTTCATTTAAAATTCTTTGCTTTTTTCTCTCTCTCTCTCTGAAGACATGTTTAAAACTTTTTCTCGTAAACAATAAACCTTTGTGAAATTTCTTCACACAAATACTATAAGTAACCCTGAGGCAAAGAATTGTAAGGGCAAAAGGAAATCTTTATTTTCTGTTCTACATTTAAAAAAAAATTAGCATACAAAGCTTATATCATGTACATTAAAAAAGATTCAAGAGAAAATAGAAATCAATTGGGAGCACCCAGTAAAATGACTCAGGATCCAGCAGACCGTCTAGTGGTAATAGTTTTACCATATACAGTACCAAGAACAAGTACAGAACCAGTAAAGCGCAGTGATAACACTGTGCACTGTATAGAGTTGATTAACAGATCAAGAGTAGAGTAGCATGGCCTTGGATTCGGAAAAAAGACCCAATGTTTAAAGAACTATACATATATTGTGATAACATCATATAGGTACTATACAAAGTAAGATGCAGGATCCAGTAGTGACATTCGGTCCAGCAGACAGAATTATCTTCCATGTGTACATAATTTTGAAATATACTGAAGCATATTGTTCATGTAATAAATTATCGATTTTATCAAGCTATCATTCTGAATAATACTGTCTTTCTCTCTTTATCTACTTCTTATTTTCTCTAAAATACACATTTTCAATGGAGTCTGTGAGTACGTTTCACCTTTACTTATTAATGTTTTCTCGTTATACTATGTATAGCAAATAGCAAATGCTATTAAGAAAGATGGTTAAAACAATTGAAAATAAACCGATTGAAATAAAAAAAAAAACAAAAAAAACTATAAAGTGCAGGACAGTAGGACAGACCTTAAGAAATCAATCAAGTGAAGACAAACTCTAATTAAAAAGATCTACAATAAATCAAGGACCATCTTTAAACACAGTCAGAACAAGTGACCTTGAATCTCGTATTCAAAGCAACGTGCAATAATTACAGGTGACTCTCGACGGCTCGAACTCCGATCACTCGAGGTTCTTAATCTCTCAAATAAAAACCCCGGTCCCGCTTTTTCTCTATATAACTAAGCAAATTTACTCCCAATCTCTCGAACTTGTAATCTCTCGAAATTCTCTCGAACCAAGACCGGGTCCAGTTAAATAAATCTCATTGTTTTTTTTTAACTTTTGATCTCTCGAAGTGTTGATTGCGTATACACGCCAATCAGCCGTAAAACCTAGGACCTACCTGGATGACGGTGAATACCTGGAGCTGGCGTGGATTTTTAAATTGGAGCTGACATAGGTGACACTAAACATGTGTGTCAATTAATGACTGATTTTGACTTGACAGCCAGCGACACGATGAGCCCAGCAGGCAAATAACCTTGTTTAAACTTTGAATATTAGTTGAAGTTATGTTAAGACGTTAATAAACCCAGATACAATATTGATTCAACGTTGACTTTTCAACGTTGAAAATGTAACGTTGAATTCAAATTGAGTTGATTTGCTCAACATCGAATCCTTGCCAAGCGGTAATCCTTTTTTCCATGACCAACCAGCTATCATCCACAATCCCTACACAGGCACGTAGTATCGGGGGTTAAGGCAAGGGGATCCAGCCCCCCTTTTTTTTCAAACATTGCCTTTTACTATTGAAAATTATTATTGAAAGGCTGGTTCCCCATACTTTTTGTTGTAGCATACTTAAATCATGGTAATTTGGTAATGCTATGATAAAACTTAGAACTGAAGTTGGAACCCCCCCCCCCCCCATACCGAAAGAGGATTTTTAAATTCTTCCCTTTTTTGCCTTGTCATAATTTTTTCAAGAAAAAAAACCTGACTGCCCCCCCCCCCCCACACACACTTTCGAAAATCTACGGTCCTGCTATAACAATACTTTTCCTCTATCTTGCATTGATATATATATATATATATATATATATATATATATATATATATATATATATATATATATATATATATATATATATATTGGAAAATCATGTTCCGTGTTTGTCAATTTAAAAAGAAAACTCCACAAAAAGTACTATAAAGTGGATATCCGGATCAATAATATGTTACCTGTATTAATGCGCACAGAGGATTTTACCACGAATCGTTGAATGAATAGCAATGTTTACTGAACAACTACATATTTAAGAAATAAACAACAATGTTAAAAAGTTCTCTGGGAAATGAACTTGGTTGGTCACGTGATCAAATCCTGTGAAGCCCGAAGGGCTTCTCAGAAGATTTGATCACGTACCAACCAAGTTCATTTCCCAGTGAACTTTTTAACATTGTTGTTTATTACTTTTATTTACATTTGAGACGAATATTCTGAATAGAACTGCATTTATTACACGAACGGCCCGCCGTATTGCTATGTTGTGACGCGCAATGACCTAGAAGTTGTTTGGTCTTGAGAGTTCGCCTCGCTCCAACATTTGAATACTTACATTGATGTTTAGCAGTCCAGTTCAGGAAATATCTGTTCATAATGAAAAAACAATGATCGCTACTGGGAATTATCTTACTATTATTGTACGAGTTCTTTATATATAAAGTCAAAAGCGGTGCTATCGTCTTCAGTTTACATACCTTCAAAGGAATTTCGGGTTAAAAAGGTAAGCGTGATTTTAGGCTAATTAGAAACATTCTTCACACCGAAGAAAGATCTAACGATCATTTGTTGAACGAAAAAAAAAATATATGTTTCAATAATTTTATCTTTTTCATCGCTTTGACGGTTCAGAAGTTCCGAAACCAGTGTCACTGTGACAGAAATATGTAGACAAGATATCGTCTCGCTGTGTGATTCGGTCACGCCATGACCTCTGACCCCCTAATAAGTTCATACAGAATTGAACATATTTTCTCTTCTATAGGTTCATCTAAGAAAAATATTTGCAAATGTAAATAATTACATTTTACTTCGAACACGTGGTTCAGGTCAATCTGATATTATATTGACTGCAAAAAACCAATTCGAAAAAAAAATCGTAATATGAAAAAATATAAAGATTAAAAACTATGAGCGATGTCATGGACGTTTTTAATTCGTTGTTACGTTTTTAACTAGAAAATGCACATATTAAAAAATGTAGCCTGAGCCACGTTCAGAACAATAGCGCTTCAAGGTTAAGGAAAACGATAATCTCTTAGGCATCTAAATAAAAAACAGAGTTTTTTTTCTCATTACAATACCCGTGATCACATGTGTCTTTGGCAAGGGAACCCATCTGACAATTGTATTCACCGAAAGTACAACAAAGGAATACAGACGCAAATCGCCTTACAGTATGGCTTTGAGAAACCTAGATTTCAACGCTTATATAACAAATGATTTTTTTTATAATTAATAATTATATAAAATGGACTCATTGCTATTCATCGACGAAATGCATGGAAAAGAAAGTACTTTGTGCCTTTCCGAACGCCTGCAATGTAGATTTGTTTTTTTCCCAAGCGTAAATTCCTGTAGTATCCGTAGTAACCCACAATGCAATTCAACTCATTCATATTTAAGCCATGTTGCTACCTCATTCGCTAATCTGGCGCCAAAAATATAGTCCCAATTCCCATGCAAGAATATGTTTGTTCAAATAGAAATTTTAATACATAACTGCAGAAACTAATGTCATAAAAAATACTTACTGAAGTTTGAATGAATTCAAGAGAAGATTGCAATAAATTTCTACAGATATTATACAGTGGTGAAAATCCGCAATATAACTTTTCTCTTTACCATGTATCCTAGCCACTTCATATCCACAATTCCGTGTATAATTTACCTTATCTCGCTGTAGCCTCGCTACATCTTGCCAGAACCACTGCCAGAGCTACTGCGAACTCCTCGGGTTTTACAATTTGCAGAACATCGAAAAATAAAAGGTTCCGAACACATCCGTAGGGGTGATAATCCCACAAAAAATGGTTATAGTGTTTTTCATCTGTAAACTAGCGGTATCATTCATGTAAATGTTAATTTTACCAATAAATTTACAAATCCAATTACACTTTTGAATTTGAACAATACATTATCTAAGTTTAAAAGTTTCCTTTATTCACTTTATATCAGCTTGTCCTAGGAAAAAAAGACCGTTGACGTTAAGGAGGCTGGGGGGTCAACAAATTAACCACCAGATTTAACTTAATTTTTTAGATATGATATCTTAAGCTGTCAACTATCATTTGGCAAAGAAAAATTTCAAAAATTTTAGTTTTAAAATTTGATCATTTTCTATATCTTCATATGGAGCTCTTCTTCTAAAGGAGATCAATATAGTCTAAAAATGGCCACAACCCTCCAGCCTCTTTAAATAAATACAAATATATATGCACTGATTCCTTAAACATCACTATCACACATCACTTAAATTGAGAATGTGATACAGCATTTGCGTACATAAATTCCTAATGTGTATCTGTCTTTGGTGCAGATTGTTCTTTAGACGCTCCTTTTCTCGAGACTCAGTACTCCATCGCTGATAATCTGATTTATATTTGCTTTATTAGCCATATCTTTCTTTTGTATCAACACTATAAAAGAAAGGTTTTTTCTTAACTGATGATTTAATGGATTTTGAGTAATAAAAATCTTTTTAAATATTTATTTGTATAACGTTTTATTAAATATTCATTTATTTGTTTATTTATCCGTTTATGCATTCAAGTGCAGTGTATTTATTTTCAATTTTAAGAAAACTCAAAAGTAGCGTTCATATGTTTTCATTGTAACTGTATTTATTGCCTAGCCTAAGTAGTCTTACTGGACAAAAATTACCAAAAGTAAATCTCATAATAACGATAATAATAATTAGATAGTATAATGTCTTCCAATAAAAATACCGTTCACGGTAGCTCAGTCGGAAGAGCGCTCGCTCCGTGATCGGGAGGTCGTGAGTTCGAATCTCGGCCGCGACAGACCTAAGTCGATAAAAAAATAGGTAGCAACTGTTCCTTCGCCATGCGCTCGGCACTTTGAAGTGAAAGTTGCGGGTCCTTCGGATGAGACCTTAAAAACCGAGGCCAAGTGTCACGGCAGGCGTTGGCACGATAAAGATCCCTCACTGCTTAATGGCCCTGAGTGCCGAGTAAAGGTCAAAATTTGAAGCCCTTCACCGGTATATGGTGACGTCTCTATATGAGTGAAAAATTCTCGAATGGGACGTAAAACAATACACAATCAATCAATCAATCCAATAAAAGTAGTAATTATAGGGAAAATATATAAATCCATTTAGTTCAATGGAAGGCTCCTAATCCATAATATTACATGTATATTCAAACAGGTGTACAATGTGTACAAATTTCTATTTTATGCTTAGTCATTGAAAGTTAATTATTTAAATGAGGAATCCAGAGAATGTTGTGACTGGAGTGTCACTTTGCACCCAATAACCGTAACCATGTTTATATCTGACCCATACCGTGTCCCCCTGCTGTAGTCGTAAAGTTACCAGGTTAGTACCTGTCTCGTAACTTTCGTGAGGCGGATTAGCTACAGCTCCTGCTCGAACTTTGCTAGATCCATTTAACACAATGTCTACAAATATACTTTTCTGTTGGTAACTTTTGATACTGACATAAAATATATAATTTCCAACAACTGGTGCAGTAAAGATTCCGGTGTATCGGTTATACCCTCCTCCCACGTTGTTGATTACTTTATTGTACACTAACGTCCCACTGTTCCATGAGCTGCTATCAAAGGTCAATCCAGCAGTAAAAGCGACCCTCACAAGCATATCTACAAGTTTAGAGTTATGTAATGAACAGAACAAACACATGGTAAGAATAACAATTATCAATTTTATAAATGAATGGTATAGAAATAATGTCATTTGACCATGTTAAGATAAAATACTAGATATAATTTTATTTTATTTGAGTACATTTTGAATTTCATATTTTGTTTCCTTTTTACATTCATTAAAAACAATTACTTCTGGTAATATTCATTTGGAACACCTCCAGAGACGACACAGTGGAGGACAACTTCATCTGTCATTTTGGGTTTGTTTTACTTCAGTCTTTATGTCCCCAATAGTTTTGTTAATATCATCTAAATGAAAATTGATTTTTAAAAAATAAAAACAATCCAGAAAACATCGTAATGCTAAAAGAAAAGAATGTTACAAAGACATATGCTTGAATTGACTTTATCATAGTCTCGATGGTGATAAAGACGGAAAAAATACATGTAGTAGTAGTAGGACAGTTTTTGTACCATCTACGTGCGCCAACATCTCATAATGATTCTTTTCATATTCATAAAATAGATAATAACGAGGAGTGATCTATCTAACAAAAAAATCCATAAACAATGCAAATCTGTGGACGGGGCAATAAACACAGACACCATGAAATTGCTAAGGTGGAATCAGGTGCCTAGAAGGAATAAGCATCATTTAACAGGATTTGCTATATATGATTATATGAAGTTTACTCACTCTGAAGATATCCGATATGCTGATATTTCATCCCCAACGAACGATGTATTTTTGTAAATTCAAATTTATATTATAAAATATATACATTTGTGCACATTTCAAGAGATTATCTTTATATATATGTATGTTATTATGAAAAATTGAACTAAAACGTTCGTCTAGCTCATATTCAATTGTCGTATTTTGTTTAAGCAAATAAAAATTGCAAAATTAAATGATGCACCCGTTTTTTTTTTTAAGTTTCAGTTTCAAAAATTAAAATAAAAAAAGAATAAGAATCCTTTCAACATGTCAGGAAATATAATGAAGGACCATATTTCATTTGGAGTTGGATTTGCGAAATAATTGCATTTAAGGAGGATGGGGGGTCCACAAATTAACAGTCAGATATAACTTTATTTTACAGATATGATATCTCAAGCCGTCAACTATCATTTGGCAAAGGAAAATTTCGTACATTTTAGTATTTAAAATTTAATCATTTTTGTATATCTTTATATGGAGCTCTCCTTCTAAAGGAGATCAATATAGTCTAAAAATGGCCATAACCACCCAGCCCTTTTAAAGGAATTAATACAAGTATAAATATGATAAATATGTAGTCCAAACAAAAAATGCTTTTGGAAAAGATTCTTTTTTTAAAGAAAAATAAATTGTTCTTTAAAAAATAATTGGCTTTTCTGAGCCTTTAATACCTACTTTGTCGTTACAATACCTTTATCTGGATTTGGGATTTTGAAAACAATCAAAATTTATATTCTTTTACCAGAAAAAAGAAATGCTTACCAAACATTGAAGACATTGTAGCATTCTGGGAATTTTCCAGGTTAAACAATGACTTTGATATATCTGTGTTAGAAACAAATAAATCATTGCTCAACGTTTCCAGTGAAGCATTTAATTTAGTTGACAAAATTTCATACTTCTGATCTATCAATGCCGGGATGCTCTTGTCTATTTCCAAAGTGTGTTTATTCAGTTCCAAAAGAGTAACTTTCAAGTTTTCAAGTCTTGCACTGATGTTTTTCTCAAAAGTTTCTCTGTCAACTTCAAGTTGTTTTTCAAGTCCAAGAACATATTTACTCATTTGAGTATTGTTTTCCTTGACTGTTATTGATGTGTCTTCATGCCTTGTATTTTCAAAGATAAGTTTCTCGTTTTCACGTTTTAGTTCGTTCACTTCCTGTTGTAATGCTGTTACCTTTAACTCCGTTTTCTGCTGTGACGTTTTCATTGCCACCATACTATGTTTTAAGTCGGCCATATCCTTCATAATTGTGTACACATTTTTCACTATTCTTATTATTGTTTCTTGGTTCATAAGTTGCCTCAGTCCGTCCACACTTTTCAAATCGATGTCTTTTGTGCCCAATTTATTAATATTTTGACCACCAATGTCTGTGAGTATAGAAAGACTTTGAATATGAAGAATATGTAGGACGCTTAGAGCAAATTCAAGAACGTGCTTCATTCTTAATGCCATGACTTAAAATGCTAAATAATGGTCATGTTTTTCCTTTAATAAGGCTTTTTATTTTTTGGTGTTTTAAGAGGAGATTGAAGGTGCCATCTTTTGACATTTATTTATGTTCCATATATATACATAAATGAGATTGATTTTTGTGGTACATATTATTCAAAGAAACAACTCTTGTCATAATGGAGGAAAGGAAAATTCCGTCTTCATTAACTTAATGGGATCCTTTTTTAAAAACAAAAACTGCTTGACATAATAATTCGATCGTTAACATTTTTCACGGTCTATTTTTATTTCTTTCCTTCTTTCTTTTTTGCATTCTACGGGCAGAAGCAACTATTCATAGATTACATGAACTATTGACAAGAAAGACATCTCTGTGTAAAAATATTATTTTGTTAAAAAATATTTAACACTCGAGAGAAACTCAACAATTAGTATCTCTTCTCTACAATATCGACACTCTCACTCAAGTTTGATTCTAAAGTTTCATTCAAGTTTTCTGATCATTTAATGATTGAATGTGCATTTTTAAGTTTTAATGCATATAACGAGTGTTTAAGTTAAATATGGAGGACATATAGTGGGGTTATTTTACATTTTTATTGATACATAGTCATTGGACATAAGTATTCGAAACTGACGTAAAACACACGAATGACGGTAAAAGTTGTCATATATATTTTGGATCTTGCTATTTAAAGAGAAAATACCGGGTTCAAAAATTTTCCTCAATAAACGTCACACATTTTTGGTGACTTGAATATGTACAATTTTGTCTGTTCTACTCTAGAAATTATTCGATAAGTTAAACAAAGTGCCAACGACGGAAAACGGAAGAAATTCCGGATACCATTTTTAACACGTGAAAGGTTGTTTACAAAACAGATATGAATATATCAAAAATTTGAAGTACGACGAATACTTATCAACAGTATTTTGAAAAAAAAAAATTGGCAGTGTAGAAAACAGCATCGTTCTGGAAGAAAACCGAGTCCAGCTTTCAAGACGGGTGAAAAGTAACAAGAGGAAACTTAAGATGAATTTTCAAATGCTAATAATAAAGGAAATGATTAGAATATAAAATAGAATAGAAAATAATAAAGAAAGAAATATAAAATACGGCGAGAGATAAAACGTTCATCGATGCCACAGAAAACACGCCTACCATGGAGTAAGGAACGAAAGAGTTGTTACTGTAGATCTTCAATGGAAAAAAAACTTGATATTCAGAGATGTATGCCAGGGAATTATTAGAAATTATAACCGTGTGTACATTTTACCGAGGGCCGACGAAATCGACTAACCGACGTATATGCGCCATCGAAAACTTTTATAATCTGGGTGGATAAAACTCACAATCTTCTTTAAATAATCTTCGCCTTTGTGCTAATTTACTGCAAAAATTGGAGCTCAGTAGCGACAATTTTTCCAAAATCGCCCAATATGCTGGTAGAAAAAATGTGATGTATCTTCTACAATGACAAACCTTTGTTTTCCTTAAATTGCTATTGTTACATGTATTAATGCGCACAGCGAATCTTACCACGAACAATTGACCAATCGTTTAATGAGTAACAACGTTAACTGGAAAACTACATATTTACATTTTACTTCGAACACGTGATTCAGGTCAATGTACGATCCGATATTAAATGGACTGCGAAAAACCACTTTCGAGCATGGAAATGATAGAATAAATTTGGACATATTGCTTTTCGCCTACGAAATGCATGGAAAAAAAAATTTCATTGTGCCTTTCCGATCGCTTGTAGATTTGATTTTTTCCAAGCATATAATTCCTGTAGTATCCGTAGTAAACCATAATGCAATTCGAGTCTTTCAGCTGATTTGTCAGTTTAAGTCATATTGGTACTTTATTTGCTAATCTGACACCAAAAAATAGTTACACTTCCCATGCAAATATGTTTGTCGAAAAAGAAACTTGAACAGAAAACTGAAGAAAATAATGTTATAAAGAATACTTATTGAAGTTTGAATGAATTCAATAGAGATTGAAGTACATTTCTACTTTGTACTTATATTATACAGTGATGAAAACTGAAACGCAACATGACTTTTCTGTTTACCATGTCTCCGCGTGCTAGTCACTTCCTAGCCATATTTTCGTGAAAAATTTACCTTACATCGTTGTAGTCTCGCTAAATCTTGCCAGAGCTACTGCGAACTCCTCGGGTATTATAATTTGCAAAACATCGAAAAATAAAAGGTTCTGAACACATTACTAGGGGTGTTTAAGCTCTCATCCGAAAGACCTGTGACTTTCACGTCTAGTGCCGAGCGCTTGGCGAAGGAACAGTCACTACCTTTGTAACGTCTTAGGTATGACGCCGCGCGGCAAACGAGAATCGAACCCGGGACTCCCCATCAGGAAGCAACGCCCTACCAATAGGTTACCGTGACCGGCCGCACATGGAGAAAATGTCAGTTTGTACGCCCTGAAACAATATAAAAGCATAATTAACTTCTCATGTAATGTTAAATTTCCACGAGGTCTCAGTACGTAGTAAATAAAGTAATTCGTAGCTTTATTTACACACACACAATTAAATTCGTCAAATACCTCAGGTGGAATCAATCCTCCCCGGCGGGAGCCTACTATAAAAATAGAGGAATCTGCGTATCACACAAAGAAGTCCATCACTTAATGTATGATCAATTTCTTATATTGCCGGGTGCATCGCATGGAATCAACTCAGTGCATTATAGATAAATTACGATAACAAATTTTTATCGTATTAATTATGACATGAAAATTTGATATTTGTTTTAGAAGGAACATGCTTGAATATTAATGTAAGACCTTAAAATTGGACTTCATCTCTAGGGCCTATATTTGTTTAGTTTCAATTTTATGAAAAAATCTCGAATAAAGAAAGACTCGAGAAGTAATGCTCCTCGAGAACATTATTTTTTAAAAGAGGATCTCTCAAAAATAATTCTTAATTTACTGGGAGAATTTATTATAGCAATGGGAAGAGGTATCTAACGAATTTAGATGTTGTTCTAAGGATCTGTTTAGAATAATTATTAAATCTTGAATACAGCAAAGGAATGCCTGTGATTTCCCAATATAGATTCCTATAGTTTGATAAGTTGGATCAAACTAATGGAAAATAATTTGGCTTCCCATTATTAATAATTTTGGCGCTCCAAATCACATGATTTTGCTGTGATAAAAGAACCCATAAAGTAACTTCTTTTGTATATATTGTTGCAGTTTTTTTCCTTAAACAAAAATCGAAGATAATGAAAATTTTCATATGTGATACTAGTGAATTAACCCCCTAAAGGAATTAAACCCCGGCCTGCCACTTGATCCAACAAGCACGATTTTATTTTATATCTGGATTCAAATTTGATCATCTAGCTTTATTAATTGTTTATGCAAAAATTACCTTATTTCAATACTTTTAATTAATATCAATATCTAAAACTCAATTCGAAAACTAACACTTTCACAAAATTAACGTTAAGACAAATGTTCATAGGTTAAGCAAGTTGAACATCAGAGCTTATAATATACATAAAACGTAATTACTTATATCTAATTCAATTTAATTGGATATAAACACCATTCCGATAGGTATACAGTCTATGTTCTAGTTTTCATACTACACAAAGTCATATATTTAAAATACGAAATTCAGAGAACGTGGTGGCAGGAGCGTCAATGTATGTGTAGTATCCTGTACCAAAATGATGTAGTAACAGTATGACCCATACTGCGTCTCCCTGCTGCAGCCGTAATGTTACTTGGTTTATACTCTCTAACTGATAATAAAAGTTAGTTACGTAAGCCTTTGCTTACGCACACATTACGCACTGCAAGTAGTGCAGGGCTTAATGTGCGCGCAAACAGTTAAACCCGCAGGATGCCTCACCTGGAATCAACTGTGATCGGCCGAAGTCGATCACAAAAATTAACCAAATGCCACCGTAAAAAGATGGGCTTTAAGATGTTTTTGAGAGTGTGCACAGTTGGAAATGATTGAAAGTATGAAGGTACAGAATTCTAGAGGGATGCTGCAGTCACATAATATAAAGGAATGCTTACCAAAAAATGAAGATCGGGGACGTAGCATCGTTTTTGAAAGGTGTGGGGGGGGGGGGAGGGAGGCAGCCAGAGAAAAAAAATTCAACCTACCTGAAAAAAAAACTTGACAGGCAAAAAAAAAAAAAATTGTCCAAACTCGAAAATCCTTTTCGTGTTTTGTGTGTGTGGTGTGGGTGTGTGTGTGTGTGGGGGGGGGGGAGTAGGTAGGTTCCAACTTCTTTCAGTACCAAATTTTATTCATACACTACTACAAAACCCTTATTTTACTATTTGTACAACAAAAAGTGGGAGGACCAACCGGTCAATTCACATTTAAATGGAAACAGTGGGGGGGGGGGGGGCACCCGCCCCCCCCCCCCCATTGCTACGTGCCTGAAAATATCACTGCATTCTAAGAGTTTCTAGATTCATTACGGATATTTTTCGCTAGAAACATGTAAATCATTTTTCGAAAATTCAAGGGAAGTATTCATGTTTGTTTAATAAATATAATATTTTCCCTCTATCGATGCAGGAATATTCTTGTCTATATTTTCAAGGCGCCTTTATTCAGATCAAGAAAAGTAACTGAGAGATATCGAATCTCAACTTACAAGTCTCCAGGTATGTTACTGGTGTTTTTTCTCAAAATCTTCCCTTTTATCCTCAATTTCTTCAAACTCAGGAATGTGTTCATCCATTTCAGTGAAGTTTTCTCTGACTGTAAAGAATATTTCACTATACCTTCTGTTTCCAAGCTCAAGTTTCTCATTTTCACATTTCAGTTCGTTTCCCTCTTCTTGCAATGCTGTCACCTCTAAGTCAGTTTTCTGCTGTGATATTTTCTATGTCTCCATACTTTGTTTCAGGTCGACCATTTCCTTTATAACTGAGTGTACATTTTTCACCAGTGCTATTCTTATGATCTTTTCCTGATTCAAATATTGAC